TTGCAACTCATTTATTCTTAAACAACTAACAAACAAACCAACCAAAAAATTAATCAACCAGCCAACCAGCCATCGAAAATACCAACCAACCATCTAACCGATCAATCAACCAGCTAACCCGCCATCAACATACCATAAACCAATCAACCAACCAAACAATCAATCAACCAGCTAACCAACCAACCAAACAATCAACCAATCAATCAACCAGCTAACCAACCAACCAACCAATCAATCAACCAACCAACCAAAGATCAACTAACTTAGATTTTTTACTATCCTCTTTCTTCATGAGAGCATTCTGTTCGGCTGTCTGCAGTTTGGTGTCAATGTTTTTCTTCAACTGGCTAAGGTTCTCCCTGATTCGTTGGCGCAAAATAAAGTCACAAAGTAACATTGGATATTATATGGGTTAAATTGACATACCTCTAATAAAGGATGACAAAAACGACGTAATTTATAATCAAATTAATCATAATATAATAAAAATAAATATTATTATTATTATCTAAATAAATATTATTATTATAATATAAATAAATATTGTTATTATAATATAAATAAATATTATTATAGGCTTCTTAAAAGATAATTTCATGCAGTTGCATCGGTACAATAATACGCAACTGAATCATGAAGAAAAAAAAAAAATTCTTTTAAGAAAAAATGACAAAAAAAACATCACGGAAAACTGTTTGGATTGGAGTTGCCCTAAAACAGCTATAACCAAAAACAATGAAATGATAATTATGGCCTAAAATAAAGCAGAGGAAGATGATTTTTTACATGGATTTTCTGTTCTGCTGACTTATAGATTCTTGTTTTTGTTCCGATTGTAGAGATTTCAACTTGGTTTTCTGTTGGGAAGAGATTGAAATTAAAAAAAAAAAGATTGCATCACTGACGTTAAAAGGTTTAATTAAAATAAATTAAATTAAATTAATTAAGAAGAAATGCACTGACCAATAAATTCTGTTGACTCTTTGAAGTTCTCAATGAATTAACCCTGAAAAAATTATGAAATATTAGTGAAAAATCTAATTAATTAACGAAATAGTTTCAAATTTGATTGAATTAGTTAAAGCTTAAGTAAATCAAACATAATAATAATTAATGATAATGATGATGAGTAACGATAATTAATAATAATAATAATTAATAACAATAATTGAAAATAATAATAATAAATAATAATAGTGATAAACCTCTGAAAATCACTTTCATGTTTCATCTTCAATTGCCTCTGATACTCTTCAAACTCCAGACGCTGGTGTTCCAGCCTCTGTTCCTATGTGGACGTCAAGATAATTTATTTTCATTTCATGAGTGAATGAATGAATGAGTGAGTGAGTGAATGAATGAATGAATGAAATGAACGAACGAACGAACGAACGAACGAACGAATGAATAATCATGAAAAAAAACCAACCACGGAATGCTTATTGGCTTGTTGTTTTTCATGGAATGCTGTCCTAGGCTGGGAGAAACAAATATTAAATCGTGAGTTAATGAATTGGAGCGGACCGATCAATCAGCCAAACTAACGAACAATAAACCAATCAACCAACCAACCAGCCAACTAATCATCCAACCAACCAACCAACCAATCAACCAACCAACCAATCAACCAGTCAACTAACCAGCCAACCAATCGGAACCAACCAACCTTATTAAATTCTTTCCTGGTTCCAGTACCCCCGTAACTATTCCTCCTCTTGAAACTGCTAAGCTCCGATTTTTCTGCCTCCCATTGTTTGTGAGCCATTTCTCTCTCCTTCTTCTCCATCTCTTCTCTCTCTTTCTTCGTCAATAGGATCTCTATCATTCGTTCGTCCTGAGCACGCACAAGTCATTTGAGATTTATTCACATTTACGTGGAAATGATTTTAAAATTCGAAATTAAAATTGTTTCTACACGTTAAAATATTTAAAATAAAACTTCCTCGGAGCAATTCTTGTTACATATGCATTAGCAAAACTATTTATCATCAAATACCTGTTTAAAACAACATGCATTTGTACTTATAGCCATACAGTATTCGTTTCATCAAACACGCCATTTAAATTGAAAGCATATATTAGAGCCAACCAAAAAAAAATTAATTCACTAATTGAATAATTAAAAAGTCAATTAGAACACAGGCAAGTTTACGGCACATTCAATTAAAATTGCACAGCGTTTTCAATACATTGACTTAATGTGTGAATGAATAAGTGAATGAGTGAGTGAATGAATGAGTGAGTGAATGAGTGAGTGAATGAGTGAGTGAATGAGTGAGTGAATGAGTGAGTGAATGAGTGAGTGAATGAAAAAGTGAATGAAAAAGTGAATGAAAAAGTTAATGAGTGAGTGGGTGAATGAGTGAGCGAGTGAGTGAGTGAGTGAGTTGAGTGAGTGAGTGAGTGAGTGAGTGAGTTGAGTGAGTAAAATTGATGAAGAAATAGAATCACTAACGTAGGTCTTCTTATTAGCAGATCCACCGGAATGAAATACCTGCGATTTAAAATTTAACATTAAAAAAGCCTGAATTTTTCTAATAAGAATAAGGGAATGAATGAATAAAATGAATGAATGAATGAACAAACGAACGAACGAACGAACGAACGAATGAATGAGTGGTTGAATGAAAGAGAATGAATGAAAAAATTAAAGGATTGGTGAATGAATAAACGAGTGAATGAATAAACAGTTGGGCAGAAGAAAACAAAGTTTTCAACGTTCATTTGACCAAACGTTTAGAAATGATATAACAATAGAAAATTGGCTAGAAAAAGCAAAAAAACAAAATAAAATTCTTAATTTTTTTTAAATCATATAAAAAATTTTTAAAATAATTCTCACCTTATTGGAAATTTTACTAAAAGCACCTTGTATACGCTGCAAGGTGGATGGCGTTAACTTGGGCGTCTTTTGTTGTTTCGGAGTCTGAGTTGACGTTACGGTTGTTGATGTCGTTGTTGATGTAGTTGATGTTCTGGAGGTTGTAGGTGTCCTCGATAAGGACGAAGATACTGATGATGATCTTGGCTTCTGTTGCGTCTGCTGCTGCTTCCGCTGCTGCTGGTGATGATGATGACGATGATGAGGATAGTAACTATTGTTTTTGCAGGTTGGATTTCCAATCTCTTGATTCGTGTAAAGTTCTCTATCAAGTTCTTCATTGGTTGAGTGTGAGACAGGTATTTTTTCATTGTAGAAACTTTTACGACTGTCATCAGATTTGAATGATTCATCGTTTTGTTCCTCCATACTGTCGAATTTGTTGCTTGTAAAGGCGACCTCATCTTCATCATCGTCGTAAAAATGGGTTTCTGTGCAATTTGTCCTATTTTGTCCAGTTGGGCTGTTTGGGGAACTGAGTTCATTGTTGCTCTTTCCACAGTTACTAATGTTGTATGATCGTATAATATCTTGGCTGTGTTGAAATCTGTCATTGATGTGACCACTATTAGCAGTGTAACTGTTGATGCTTTTGAGGTTGTTGATGTCATCAGGGTTGACTGCTTTGTTGTTGTTGTTAATGCCATTTATGTTGGTCTTATTGTTGGTGTTTATATTATTGCTAAACCTGGATTTGTAGTAAGTAATGTCGTTGTTGTCGTTGTTGATGTTGTTGTTGTTGTGCTCGTTTAAATCAGAGGAGTTTATTATCTTTTGATTGGATCGTTTTGTTGTCAGCATAGATGAACGATTATAATTGCTTGATGTATTGCTGGCAGCCCTTTCAAAAAATAATCGGCTGTTGTTTATGGCGCTAGCTGCGGTTGTCGGTGTCGTTGTTGTGATTGTTTTGCTGCTGTTGCTAATCGTTGTGTGGCTGGTTGTGTTCTTGTATGAATTGCTACCGCCGGCGTTTGTTGAGCTGCCGCTAACGTCAAGGTGGTTGCGATTGCTGCTGCCTCTGTCGGTTTTACATCTGTAATTGTGTGTATCATGGAATTGGTTAGAGTTTAGATGTTGCTCGTTCTCTGATGGTGTTTGTTGCCTGAAAAATGCAAGTTTTTCTTGAAATTTTGATAACTGAGATTCCTGTGTGGAGTTGTTGTTGCTGTTGACGGCAGGATTGCAACGGTTGAAGCTTTTGTCGATGAGATTGCTACTACTGCTATTGTTTATGAAACCCTCATCAATGTAGTTGTTGGTGTTATTTATGTAATTGTTGTTGTTGTTGTTGATGTTGTTGTTGTTGATTTTGTTGTTGTTGATTTTGTTGTTGTTGATGTTGTTGTTGTTGTTGTTATCGTTATTAGATGGTGTTTTTGGTAAACATTTTTTGTAAGAATTATTTTTTGGGCTTTGCTCAAAAATCTGGCGTTCGGGAAATGAATTATGATCTGGCAGTAGTTGCTGGTGGTGTTGGTGAGTTTCAAGCTCGGGTGATTTTGGTTGAAGATATGGCTGGTGAAGGGAGTGTGAACCGTATTCAAAGTTTTCGTGGTATCGTTCGGATAATCGATCGAGTTTACCTTTCAGTCGAATATCATCGAGTCGGTTAGTATTCGTGTTGTTGTCGGTCAGCTGGTGGGCCTCACACGTGTTGCTGAGTTGAGTGTGGTTGCGGTTTGTCGCAGCGTCTCTTCTGGCGTACTCTGTGACTGCGGTTGCATTGTTGTTAATTTGATTCAACAAATATTTATTTAGGTAAAATTCAGGCGAATGTCTCGAAAAAAAAATCGGTTTATTTGCTTGGATAAAATATTTGTTATTCCTGAATGATACTTTATAAATCATTTTGTAATTATTTTATTAATGATATTTTATTCAAAAAACATTATTAATGTAAAAACATTATCATCATCGTCATCATCGTCAACATCATCACCATCATCATCTTTCCAATCTACACTTCCGTTATCATGCCAGCATCCTCACCGGAAATTTCCTCGCATTCATCCTCCGATATAGTAAACGTGTTTCTATTGCGCGATTTTGTGGCGGAGGAGGCCGCCTCGCTACTGCTGCTACTTCTTCTCATTATATCTTCAAAGTTTTCATCCAAAGTTGTGGCATCTACTGGACTACTAGTTGAGTTGGTTAATGTGTGGTTAGTCGTTGGACTTGCTGCTGTGCGGCCCAAACCTGAGCTTTTACTCGCAAAGTTTGAGAGAAAAATTGTTTCTGAGGGTTTGTTTTTGACGTTTGCCGCTGGGTTCGGCAGATTCGAGTACCTAATTTGTGGTTGGAAATATGGTAGAACGTGTTTGAGGATAATTTGTCGGTGAGTGTATTTAAGTGTTGCTCTTCTTAGCAAAGATAGAATAAAACTGTTTTTGATGATTTAGTAGCAAAAATTAAAATGTTGAAAAATGAAACGGGCATATCATGATTGAAAAATCGTCAGTATTGTCCGAAAATGTTTGATTATGATTATGCATATGATTTTAGATTGATTTATTTGTGGCAGATATCACGTGATACATACCATATATAAATATATTACAATAAATGTTTACATAAATAATTCCTCAACACATACAATCCTTAGGATATTCAAATATCAGACATTAAAACTCATGAATAAAAAAAAAATTTAAATTTAATAATAGCAAAATCGCGTAAAATGATCAAATAAAATTACTAATACACCTGGTGGCTTAGTATTAGCAGCCAAACTTAACAAAATTATCGAAAGATGAAGATGGAATGAAGATAACCTTTCATTTGTTTGCTCATTGCGAGATGACTCTGCATGGAAATCATCTTTTTTGCTGGTGAGTAGGGCGCGCCATCTCTTCATCTTCTCCGCAAGGGCATCGTGATCGGAGATGGATGGGGCGGTGAGCTGTCGGTTGGGGGGTAGGGAAGGTGGTGAGTAGGTACTTTCACCCATGCTCATTTCTGGAGGAAATTTTTTTGGAAATTTGGTTGCATTAAATTTTGAAATTATAACAATTTTTCAAAAATCTAAACATTTCTTAGTTTTTTTTTTATCAAATCATGAAAAATTAACTGAATTACTTTTATAGAAAACATTTTTTACTGATTCGATTTGGCAAACAAAAAATTTTAAAGGCATAGGACGTCACATCAACATTTTAACTTGAAATTCTGGTTCGTTCCAGTTTTTTTTTATTGGTTAAATAAAATAATAAACATTGTTCGCACGGCATGTTCAAACTTATTTTTATCCATAACATCAACAGCATTTAATTGTCAAACTAATTTAAAAATACGAAAAGGCAAAACTAAAGTATTCTAAATACGTTAAAACACCAGCACGGTGTTCTAACTTCATTAAACTTGTTAACATTAGATACCGTTCATCATATTAAAACGTTAATTTTCTTTATCAAATGATCAAAGACCCAATTAATTGCACCTTATCAGGCCACTTCAATAGCTTGGTGATCGAATTGAAATCATAAATTATATGCTATTCACATATACATTTTCTCACACACTCCTAGCAATCACACACGAATGTATGAAAGAATGAACGAACGAGTGAACGAACGAACGAACAAACGAGTGAATGAATGAATGAACAAATAAATGAATGAACGAAAGAAAGAATGGGTAGGTAAGATATGTTTGTCTATACTGAAATTTTTGTGAGTACACTGTAATAATAATAATAATAATAATAATACGGATATGAATAGAATAATTAATAATAATAATATAAATAATGACAATTATAAATAAAATAATTTCGAGCAATTCGAATATTCTTAATATAAGCAGGAGTAATATTTACCAAAGTAATCCATTTAAATATTCTTAAACGTACATTACTTCATAGTTAAGCATTGGCAAACCTTACCTGCATGCTATTTCAATTTAATTTATATATAATTTAATAATATATATATATTTATTTATTTATATATATATTTATATATATGTATATATATATATATATATATATATATATATATATAATCTTGAAATATTTATCTAAAGTACATTTAAATACATCGAAACATCTGCACAGTGTCCTAACTTCATTTATCAGAGTGTTACCTACACATCATGATACATACATATATATATATATATATATGTATATATATATATATATATAATACCAAGATACTATCCTAGAATATGTATATAAATATGATATCATGACATAGTTTATATGTATTAATTTTTCAGTATGGGCTTTTCAGAGTCATATATATATATATATATGACTCATGTTTCTTGAAGGTTGTATAATCACGTACACAAAAGGACACATACATGTACATATATACACAAACATACACACATACAAACAGTTAAATAGTCAGTCAAATTGTCTTCAATTTGGTCTACGTACGTGATTCAATTTACCTGATAGAAAGAATGGAACTGTGTTACGATATGGTAATTAAGTAATATTGTTTTCATGTCAACTATGTATTCTGAGTTTGAATGGCTCTTTTCTACATCGTTGTGCGGTGAATGTTTTGTGGTAAAAAATAACAATCGTTGTCATAACTATTATTTATTTATTTGAACAAAGCACGGGCTATTGGATGTGTGTGTTGATAAGTAGGAATGGTTTGAGATTTTTAATCTATTAGTATGATTGAATAAGAATTTTTCATGGATGGATGGGAGTGGATTAATGAGAGAATTAGTTATGCAACATTTATAATACTCATTATCATGAGGTTAATGTAATAATTATCATATGGTAAAAATATGAGCATAAATATAGGTAAAAATATGTACTTATTTTATTTTTTATCAGTAATGACTGGGAATATGTATGACTGACTTGGATTTGGTTATATATTTGGATTTGGGCAAATGTTAATATTATTATTTTTATTGATTATTCATTCATTCATTCATTCATTCATTCATTCATTCATCCATCCATCTATCCATCCATCCATCCATTTATTCATTCATTCACCCATCCATTCATTCATTTATCCATTCATCCACACAATGAAACTGCAAGAGAGTGGCTATCGACACAATTAAATCTAATCTGGATGCATTTTATTTTCGGTGTTTTGTGTAAAAGTATTTTTTTACTCAGGTCAACCTGAAATTCTAAACACAATCAGAAATAATAATTAAATTCATTATGACTTATTTTTATTATTATGACTTATTTTTATTATTATGACTTATTATTAGTATTATTATTAAAAACAATTTTTTGTCTGAACATCGTAGCTTAGCCTCTAACGATAACGATAATCACTCTCCTCAAGTTAATCGGTTACGAAATATCTATCTGGCTTCCTACCAAAAACTTTGACTTTAACTACCAAAAAAACTAAAAATATTTTTCACTCCAAAGCAATGAACTCATTCATTTAACAAATTCATTCATTTAACAAACATATTATATTCCACCAACCTGTAAATTATAAAATCTCCATCAGACTTTATTAGAGATAAGTTTATTCGCAATTATAAAAGTATCCCAAAATCAAAATCCTATCAACTCAATAGCATCAGCAATGGTTAATGTCACGTATGACATCATCATGTATATATGACATTAACGCTGATGCGACAGCCTGTAACGTTGATGTGATGTCGATGTCAAATTCACCTTAGTTAAAAGATATTACAACAAAAGTTTAACAGCAAAAATTTAGTTAGTAGGACTGGTAAGGGATAAACCTCTCTGATGTCATTTTGCTGCTGGCATTAATGCTCGTATAGGCAGATCATAGAATTATTAATTATCTCAGAAGCCTAGATTGTTTTTCAAAAAAATAATTAAGGTTTTTTAAAAAATTTTTTTATAAGTCACTCAAATTACTATGGCTGTTATTTTATTATTATTATAACTGATGATATTATTATTTTTTGCCTTTTTAAAGATTGCTACTAATATTATTACCAATGTTTTGATGTACAAATTAATAATCATCGCTGTTTCAATCCTTGACAGACAGACGCTAAAGCTTAAAAATATAGAAACATTTTGAACTGAACATATATTAAACACATAACTATCAAAATTCTTCAGCAGAGGCGCTATACAAATCATCAATTACATTATATTATACTACATTATATCGCACTACATTACATAGTAACATATATCGCATTACATTATATTACATTACATTACATTACTAAAACCAACAACTGCTCAGTGTTCACTACACACACTCACATTGTCATTTTTGATTTCCTGAATAAACTTACTGACGATCACATATACATCAAACGCAACGTATTATAACATGCAACACTATAAATGATTTTATTGACGCGTGTTGTGTGTGTGTGTGTGTGTGTGTGGTGTGTGTGTGCGCGCGTATTTGTAAATTGTTGATACTTGCTGCTAAAATTTACTAAAAACAGAGTTAATGAAAATTGCTTACCTTTAAAAAATTCACCAAAATTTAATTGATCCAAAATTTATTTACCACCTAACTAGAATTGTGAAACTTATTCAAATATATCAAACAAAAATTCAGATATCGTCAAAGTTTAGTGAACAGTTATAGGATGAGTCATGATATATATCAAATTTTCAAACAATTTAACGAAATGATAGCTGTTGTGATCTGGTTTACTTCACTTGCACATGTATAATAACATACCATAAACTGATAGATAATATTAACTATTAGTTGTTGAATGCTACACCGTAGCATTTGATGTTTCATATTAGTAGGTGTTTCATATGTGTAGTTAACAACAACAGCCCAACAATGTAACAATGAATAGTCTATTTGTTATGTGCACTGGCTGGCTTGGTTTTGTGTGCTGGTAATCAAAAGTGCATTGGTTGGGTTGGTGGGATTGAAGCAAGTGATTGATAAGTTGGCCGATCGATTTGTTGTTTATTGAATTTTAGCCCATGCTCTACCACCAACATACTTAACTTTTCCAAGCCAATCTAACAACTACTAATATTTTCATTTGTTGTATCGCTACAATTGGTTTCAAATTAAATTACGATTCATAATCAAAATTTTCAATTTACAACTACTTCTCAATTAGTTTATTATTATTCGTAGTTATTGTTGTCGTCAAAATATACATAAGTTTATCAATTACAAAGTGAATACATCGAAATAAAACCAACTCAAGAGAAATACAGCACATGTAATGCGTTTATTTAAAGTTTAATGAATTGTATGCTAATTAATTTTCTTACATTTTTATCTTGATATTATGAGTTAACTTTATACTAATGTTACAATAAACGTACTAGAAATATGTCAAAGAGATGCACAAAGGATATGCTAATGAGATGTTAATGCTTTGGCTAGTAAAGATATGTTAATGAGGTAATGATTAACTTAACTCAACAAAGAGGTGTCAATCAATTAAGGCGCGAGCTCGAGCAGAATTCAAGCAACCAGATGCAAATTAGGATAAGGATGTCTCATTTGGAGATCAAAGAAAAGTGATTTTTTAAAGCTGTACGTGTTAGGTTTTCGTGATTTGGAGTATATATGTGTAGGTTTTGAAGGAAAGTTCAATCGGACTGCAAAAATAATTCTTAGATAGTTTCATAGTTCGTAGCTTTATATAATATGGTCTTCAGTCAACTATAGAAATTTTGAAATTACTTTAGTTTGTTTTAGTGTGTTATAAATATATTTCGAAAACATTGAAACTCATTTCAAAGATATATCGAAAGATAACCATTCCCGACATTTTAACATTAGCAGGAAGATGTTCTTTTTCTGATTTATAAATTTATTTTCAAAACTACAAAACTTACTTAGCAACAAACAAGTTAGTGCCTTTAAAAATTAAGCAATTTAGTTTAGAAACTATGCTTCGCAGCGGCTTCCAGAAAAAAGAGATTGAAATCGTTAAGAATGGATCGCAACAACAGCAGCAAAAACAACGAAACCAGCAACGACACCAGCCACAAAACCAATTGCAGCTCCAGCAACCACACCACATCTGTCCAGAGTGCGAACGATCATTCAACAGTGAAAGTGCTCTGAAGCAGCACTCGCACATGCACACCTCACAGAAACCTTTCATCTGCCCGACGTGTTCCAGAGCCTACACGCAGCAAACAAGCCTCAGCAGACATATCCGGTTCAATCCAAAATGTTCCAAAAACAAAAAGAAAAACTTCTATCCAACAAACAATTTCGTCACTAAAACAAATTCGACTCCAAAGAGGGATGATAATACAGAACCCGTTAAGGATGAAAGCGTCACCAAATTTCAAGATGATAGTCAGAAAACATTGTCTGACGATGAACAAAATGAAATAAGCCATCCCAACAATAACAACATTGATGATGCAAATCCTGAACGTTTATTCATTTTTACCAATGGGACCATATCTCCAATCGATAGTTCTTCCAAGTTATTCAATGAAATTTTAAATTCTGAAGTAAGCGACGCAACCGAGTGTAGCAGCCATTCAAATTCAACCAGTTCACTTTTAACAAGTGAACCACAACATTCACTCAACAATTCACTTAATCATTCACCAGATAATTCATCTGATAGTTCATTCAATCGTTCATGCAATAATCTACCCAATCATTTTTTACATCAATCATCATCCAACAATTCATCTAGCCATTCATTCAATAATTCATTTAATAATTCATTCGGTTATTTCTCGTATCCTTCTATGAATGCATCCAACTCATCTTTCTACCAATTGTATAATTACGACTACAAGCCAAGAGATTCAACCAATCTTTATCATTATCCCTCGCTATATACATCATCACCAACATCATCATCGTTGCCAATCCAATTATCATCGGTGAAATCATCATCACTGCCACTCCAATCATCATTTTCATCATCCCCACGAGCCTCTGAAATTTTCGATAGAGAGTTTCACTCAAATCCACTTGTTAAATGTGACTCAGATGATAGCAACACCAAAAGAAACACAGACGATGACACTAACAATAACATCAACATCAACATAGATAATTACAACAACAACAATAACAACAACAACATCAGCAACAACATCAGCAACAACAACGTCAATACTAATAACAACAGCAGCAGTAACAGCAAACGTAAACATTGTTTTTCAGATGTTGAAAGTTTAGCGAACGTAAAACGAATTAAATTTACTATAAATGATCTATTACGGAACTGAAATACAAAAACTAGGCCATTATTCAAACTTAACCAAATATTAAAGTAGCAAAACTAAAAATGTTGAATAGATCAAGAAATGGCAAAGCTAGGATTAGCCTCACTGGCGCTTACTTGTTTTGTTGATGTTTGGACAATTGTATAAAAGTCATCATTACACTTTGCAAATGGCAAAGCTAGGATTAGCCTCACTGGCGCTTACTTGTTTTGTTGATGTTTGGACAATTGTATAAAAGTCATCATTACACTTTGCAAATGGCAAAACTAGGATTAGCCTCACTGGCGCTTACTTGTTTTGTTGATGTTTGGACAATTGTATAAAAGTCATCATTACACTTTGCGTTCAACATTATTTCTCCATCATTATAATTGGAATTAAAACGAGATTCAAATATTTTGTTTAATGTAATAACTGCCAATCAATACAGCTGCCAGAAATAACTATTATTTCGTTAAATGAATAATCGCCTTATGTTGGTTGATCTTAAAGAATGCCATCTTCTCAGGCTGGCGTAATGGGTTTACCATCTTATTGTTATTAATGTTAAAATTAATGATAACTTATTATTATTATAACTAAAATTTTATATAATTATTTAATTATATTTAAAGTTATCGAGCTTCTGATATGGCAAATTATTGTAAAAAATTAAGAGTCAGTTATATGTTATGTAGACAGACATGTGACCGGCTTGTCTTGTATGCTATATATTTCAATATTTCCTAAGAAAACGTAGAATATTTTAAACTAATTGGAAAGTGACGCTTGCAACATGTGCTTAAGTTTCTGTACTGATAGCTTCATGACGTGTGGCTAGTTGACTTGGTATCCCGAAGTTGAAGATATTTTTATCTGAAACATATGCATACCAAATGACGGTCGATAGTATCACGTAAGATATTTTCGTTTAAAACTTGAATGACATTTTTATTGGAGCAAACATAGCCGAGAATTGTCATTTCATGAATAATAAAGGTGATGATTTTCAACGAGAGTCTAAAGAGTGCACCAAAAATGGCGAATTAAAATTTTGTTTGTACACTTTAAAGACGTCTGCTCTAATCAAAATTCTTTTCCATTTATCATAAAAAAACAATTTCCAACCTACAGAACAGCTTATTTCTTATATTATTTTCTAATTGGTTGAAATGTTGAAATTTGTCCGAGCTTGATGCAGTGGCATTTCTGCAACTAAAAGATATTAACAACTGTTTAAAATGTTAATTAAAAAATCTAAAATTATTTTCATAAGTTGTTAAACCGATGAGAAAGATGTTGTCACGAGTTTGGTTGGTGTTTATTACAAATAAATTAAAACATCGCGTTTCTTACATGTGAAATAAAAGTTATTGCAAAACAAGCAGCGAATGAACGTACCTTTCTTTGTGTTATTCAGTAAAACATTCTAAAACAATACAGCTACAATTTCTAACAAATAAAACAACTATAAAAATAAAAATGACGGTTTCTTGAATAGAGAGTGTAGGTTTTTGTCATTTTCTATACAACACTCAAGTGCTAAAACGTTTTTATCATAAAACAAAACTTAATTTTATAATAATTTTTTACTTGTGAGTGGCGCCAAACTCACAACACGAAATACTTTTGTAAACAATTTGTTTTTGAAAAAAAAGATTGAAATTTTTTTTGGCATGCAATGCACTCTTTGCGAGTTTTTCCAAAGTGTTTGAGTGTCGGAGTAGGATAAAAATATTCGACTCCAAGTCCGGCCTCTCAAAAAATTCCGACTCTGGCAAAAATCTCCGACTCGGTCTTTTTCGCATTGCGCCTTTTCTTTCTAAAGTCTTTTTATTTCTAAGTTCTTCTTTCTCAAGCCAATGTATGTACTGATTACATTTTTTAAACAAATTTGCAATTTCGTTTCAAGTAAGTAAAATTTGAATGCATAGCAACCAATTAAAATTGAGAAAAAAATATTTCAACCATGAAAAACAAACAGCATTATCCCATTAAACATTCACATTTAAAAACTATTATGATCATTCAACGTTTCGAAAAAGCTTAAAAGACCAAACGACGCAAACATATTGAAGTGTAACTAAAGAGGCAAATGACTAACAGAATGATGAAACATTGAAAGAAAAGTGTGAAAAACCTACATTGTTTGACAGGATCAATAGTTTTACCTATAGTTTTGAAGCAATTAGCTGAAAAAAGCTTATTTTTCAATCTTCAAGCATATTGAACTTCGTAAAAGTCCCATTCCAAACTAATATTCAAGCTACTCAACGCGTAACCATTCACGTGCTTGTTCAATTCACAGGTTGATTTATTCTGGCGAAAGTTAACTGAGTAACATTCTCCTGGAAGGCATTTTATCATGCACCTCATTCTATCGTTAACTGTGATCACTTTGAAGCTGTTTCCGATCAAACGATTGTTGTAATAGCGCTTCCAAATTTTAGCTAAAAATTTTTCAAAAAAATTTACGTACAAATTTTATTTAAACGGAAAAATAGTTGTAACCATTTAAGTTGGTTACAGCGTAAACTTCCAACTCGCAGATGGTGAAGAGGCCAGGGCCGGTAGCTGGTTGTTGAAAGATGACGTAGCGATAGGCTGGAACGAGGTTTGCATTACATTTCAACGTGTGTCTGGCACTGACCACCGTTTTGTATTTGTACTGACCACACATTGCGTAGCTGCCTCTGAGGATGTTCGATGCAGGAGCCAGGTAATTTATCGAAGTTAACCCGACTATAAAGTAATCCAGCCTGTCGGCTAAAATTAACATGTACGAGAATGTTTATTTTTCTCTCAATTTTTCAAATTAACGTTGTTTGATTTTTGTCAAAATTCATATTTTATAAACCAAAAAACCTTTATGAATCTAGTTAAAAGTTGGAAATAAAAAGATAGATATAAAAAAAGATACCATTGCCATTTCTTGCAAATACGTAAACATAATCGACGTAGAAGGAACCTTGGAGATCCACAACTACCCAATTTGGACCGCCACCCGGATCACCACCGTGGTAACAGTGTCCCATAGAAAGAGTTGGGTTGGCGTTACCATCTACCAGTAAGTTTGGGCCAGGGACTAAACCAGGCACCTTCTTATAAACAGAACTACTCGCTGTCGACTTGTTGAGCGCCAGATTTTGAGCCGACAAAATGGCAACAGGTGAAAGAAAGATTTCTGTAATTGGTTAATATTAAAATTGATACATTATTTTTGTTCAAATAACGAATATGTTAATTTTACTAACCGATATAAGTTAGCGATTTTATCAACAGGTAAGCTTTTTTCAACATTCTGCCAATAAAATAATATTCAAATTCAAAACTAAAAGGCAAAGAAATTTTGTGATTTGCGCAATTTATCAACAATTCATATACACATGTGTGTGCGTGCGTGTGTACGTGCGTGTGTGTATATATATATATACATATGTGCGTGCGTGTGTGCGTGCGTGTGTATGACATTGCGTGACAGAGAAATATAAAAATTTACGTGACAATATCTTGTTAAATAGTCTATTCTGTCTCCGTTAGATAGATACATAAAAACTATAATGCAATTTAAAGAAAACATTCAAAGAATAGGGACTTAGGACTCAGTTAGGACTCAGTTGATTGATTGACAGAATACGACCACACAATAGTGTAATGGTTAAGACGCCTGACACTGATGCCGCAGTGACCGCTTTCAAATGCAAAGGAGTCCTCACCTATCACATGCAAAGTGTGTGCAGCGGTGATTTATGTATATCTCTTTGTTGGTGATAACTGTAAGAGATACTAGGATACTAAGATATTAGGAATAATTTGTGTGAACATGTCTTACAATTTACTGCTATGGATATATATATATATCTATATATAATTCTCTCTATCTCTCTCTCTCTTTCTCTCTCTCTCTCTCTCTCTCTATATATATATATATAAGACATAATATATATATATATATATATATATATATATATATATATATATATATATATATATATATATATATATATATATGTATATTATATATATATATATTCATGGTTATAGCATATAATTGAATGCACTTAGGAATTGAAATAAGCTACTGGATGAGTTATAATGGTGAGATTATCATGTGACAATATCATTCATTATATAGTATTGGTGTGTATGTTTTATTTTTTCAAACCAGACCAGCTTATAGTCATAAACCTGGAAAAGGTATCCGCAAAAAAAATAGTGAGCGATATTAAGACAGCTTATTTTTAAACTGTCTTTGTTAATGGATCAGTAATAAATTGATACATTCTATTGTTTACATAAACATATGTTCTAGAGTCAGGTGATTGAGTTGTTGTTGCCTTGTTGTTCTTGTTGTTTTCAAAATAAGTAATCTTCAATTGTTTATTAGTTAATTAATTAATTTATTTATTTATTTATTTATTTTTATTTTATTTAATTAAAAACATTTGATTAGATGAAATATTTTTATTACAATACGTGAATAAATAAATGGTAAATTGCTACCGGATTTGAATGTTGACTTTGAAATATTTTTCATTATTTGGATTTTTTCATCGTTATTTTGATCTATTTTATTATTTATTTGTATTTTCTTGTAGCTTTCATCAGTCAAATCAATTCATCGATCATCATACAGACATCATATCACATCATCTTCTTATCTTATTGCTTCCTTATTAAAAATCAACACTTAGTTTTAGTTTAGAGTACTAACTAAGAAGTACTTGTCACTTGTTATAATATAATACTTTCTGAAATACATTATTGATAGATTAAAACAATTAGATAATACTTATATTATTCTTTTATAATATAATATTAAATTATAATGTATATATTAATCTTCCTGTCTTCCACTGACTATAGGTATAGATTATCATTATAGATAGACATAGGAGCATAGAATAGAAGAATGAATCAGATTGACATTGACTGATGTGATAGAAGATAGATTAACTGTAAATTAATAAAATAGCAACCTCTCCAACTTTTCCATCCTTCCTCCATCTTTTCCATTCTTTCTGCCTCACGTGTAATTGAACATGGAACATCGGAATGTGATTATTATAGCATTGACTATCCTATGCACTTGGTTAGGTGTTTATTTCATGAATAACTATTAACAAAAATCACGGTTTTTAATTTGAAGTTTACTTTTAATGAAACTATCCCTAACATCAAACAGGGCGGGCCCCGGGACCTGTCAATCATTTACGTCAGGATTATCTGTTGCTGCTGTAGAAGAATGGGACCATTTTATCTTCTCCATGCACTGGCCTCAATCAATTTGTGTAGAAAGAAATGAAACTGTATGTTGTGGAAGATTGTTTTATATTATAAGCGTGTGTGTGTGTATGTATGTGTGTGTAGATATGTGTGGATGTTTGTATACATACATATATATATATCACACACATCCAACGCGTGTGTGTTTGTGCGTGCGTGCGTGTGTGTGTGCGTGTGTTGTTGATACCTCTGATAGTAAATTAAAAGAAAATTAGCACATTATTCATTTAATTATTAATTATTTATTTATTTTAGCCTCTTTATTAAATAGTCATCAAAAAACAATTTTTTATTATGTATACTACAGGGAATCTTCAACTGCTCCATACCACGTGAAACAACTAGCTGGATTATTCACGGTCTTTGGTAATAAAATTTTAAGATCTTTGTTTTTGTTTTGTAATTAAATTGTGATAAATTTATGTGGCGCCTAATTTTTTGTGTGGGGCTTAATTTTCCGGTAACATGATCTCCATTTAGGCCGACGAACAACACATCTGAGAAGCCAGTCTGCTGTAAGGGAGCAGCATTCAACCGCAGTCTTCTGGATGTTGGTTGATTGGTTGTTGTTTTTGTTTTGTTTGGAGGTTGTTGATGTGGTGCCGTTGGTACTGTGTTGTGACGTTGAAGTGTTGGGCCGTGTTGTCGTCTTTGCTGTAGTGTTGGATTGTGTTGTTGCTGTTGCTGATGCGTTTTGTGGTTTATGTTGCTATTGTTGTTGAGGATGTTTTTATTGATGCTGTTGCTTTTATGTTGTTGTTGGTTGGTTGGTAGGTTGGGCTGTTGTTGTTTTGCTGTGCTTACAACCAACCAAACAAACAAACAAACATTCAAAATAAAACATACGAACACGCAAACTATACGAACACACACAAACAAAAAAACAAATTTTCAGCCAATAAAAGATCAGCTGGATGTTCATTGGCCGAATCTCTTCATTGGCCAGACCGCTGGCGAATTCTGGTTGGTCAATAATGATGACGATGCTGATGATGATGGAGATGAAAAATACGGCTCTAATATTTCATCTATTCACCCACCCACTCATTCATTCATTCATTCACCCACTCATTCATTCATTCATTCACCCACTCATTCATTCATTTATTCATTCATTCATTTATTCATTCACTCATTCGTTCATTCATTCATTCATTCACTGACTCATTTATTCATTCACTCATTCGTTCATTCATTCATTCATTCATTCATTCACTCACTCATTTATTCATTCACTCATTCGTTCATTCCTTCACTCACTCACTCACTCATTTATTCATCCCATTCACTCACTCGTCCAGGAAACACGAATGGAAAAAGCACGGCACCTGTGCAGCTTCTATGGAGAGCCTCAACACGCAGCTGAAGTACTTCAACGTCACTCTATCCATTCTGGAGAAGTTCAACATCGCCTCGTTCGTCACAAACATTTATTCTCATTTCAAAAAAATTGACCATTCGCGGTTTTTTTGTTTGTGCTTTTATGTTATTATTTGATGCTGATGACGATGGCAGTGATATGATGATGATGATGTTGTAGTGATGATAATGATGATGTTTTAGTGATGATGATGATGATGTTGTAGTGATGATGATGTTGTAGTGATGATGATGTTGTAGTGATAATGATGTTGTAGTGATGATGATGATGATGATGATGATGTTGTAGTTATGATGATGATGATGTCGTAGTGATGATGATGATGTTGAGATGGGAGTTTAAATCGTTTAAGAAGCGTTATACTAGTACAATAACCAAAAAATACGATGACTAAATGGTGGTTGTCTGGTATGTATGGGATGATGACGACGACGATGATGATGATGGTAGTGAAAATGATGATGATGATGATGATGATAGCCTGGATAATGATGATGATGATGGCATGGATGACAATGATGATGATGATGATACATTTTTGTAATGTTTTCACAGGGGTCTTGCCCAGTTTAATATAGTACCGTCTGATAATACGTTCTACACGGTTAATTATATTATTATTCAATTATAATTATAATATTATACAATTATATTATTATTTAATCATAATTATAGTAGTCAATTTTAATGTGAGACATCGAAATTTTTGTGAATGCAAGCAGTTTAACGGAGAGCTACATTCTAGAGAATAGACATAAACAATGACATTAACACAGCAGCAGTGACAACAATTACAACAAGTTACATCAATTACATGATCATTAGCAGTTACAACAATTACATCACCAACAGCAAATACATCAATTACATTATCAGCAACAATTACATCAACAACAACAATTACATCAACAACAACGATTACATCAACAACAACGATTACATCAACAACAACAAGTCACATCAATTACATCAACAACAACACAACTTCCTATACAGGTTAGTGACTTCCAGCGAGCTTTCAACTCTCTCTACAACGTCAGCCCCAAAATGCTCTGCTTTCCGTCCAGCGTTAGATCATGATGATGATTATCATGATGGTGATGATGACAATGATGATGGTGATAACGATGATGATAATGATGGTGATGATGACAATGATGATGGAAACAACGATGATGATAATTATGATAGAGATATCGATGATGAATATAGAGATGGTGATGATGAATATAGAGATGGTGATGATGTTGTTGTTGACGATGATGATGATGATGATGACGATGATGTTGACGATGATGATGATGATGACAATGACATAGAAGTACACATCTATATATATAGGTAATTATGAAAAAATTATTAACGCACGATATTACCTGGCAAGCATTTAAAATTTAAAAATACTTCAAGATAAATTTTTCTTTTTTTTTTTGCAACAACATTCAAAACCGCAGAGAAAATCCAAGAATGACCCCAAGAGATCGGCCTACCAATATATCAGCGAGATTGAATTCTGCATGGACAAACAGTTCAGTAACATTGAGTGCCCACGTAAAATACACCCTAACTCACGCCCTCGGCCCTTTTGTCTCCATCCTCTTCATCATCATCATCAGCATCCTCTTCTTCCTCATCGTCTTCATCTTCACAATCACCAAAATCTCGAACTAAAACAATATCGCAGTCGCCGTCAGGAATCATCTGAAGCAGTGGTAAGTAGTAAGAAGAAGCAGTCGGTTCTCGATGAGCTTCGCACTTTGAAGTTGAATTTTCCTTGGGTAGGTTCATTATTAACCGAATCGTCATCCTCATCTTCTTCATTTTCCTCATCATCGTCAAATAGGCTGTTGATTGCTAAAAAATTGTTGCTATCTGATGATCTTGGTGGAAATTTTCACAGCAGTAGATCCAACAGCCGGCGACAGCTGGTCACTAAGATGAGTCAGCCAACTAACAGCAACGACGAAGACGACATCAATAGCATCAACAACGTCAACGATTTCATCAACAACCTCAAAGAGGATTTGAAAAACGTTGATGCGAATTTTATGAAAAATATTTTCGATGAAATTCAAGTTAATAATAACAACGAAGCAGATGACCGCGAAGAAAAAGTCCAAGAAACAGTTGAGGATGTTGTTGGTGATGACGACGATGACGACGACGATGCTAATGATGAAACTGATGATGATCACCATTTTTATGACGATGGTGACGATGGAGATGAACTCCTCCTCAATGGTGGTATGTTAGGCGGGGTTAACCCTTGCCTTGACTCTAAAAAAATCCACTACCCTATCATCAGATACTAGCGAGTCGCATTCTTGTTTTAAATATGCTATATGTTAATCATATGTTGATTTTATGTTAATTTTATGTTAATTTTTATGCTAATCTCATGTTGACTTTATGTCAGTGTTCTAAGAATGTTCATTGCTCTTTTTTTTATCCAACAATAGCGCGTTGTCTGTTTAATATTAATATATTCTAATGTGAAAAGATTTTCATTTGTAGAGATTTTATATAAAATAGAATGTGTTCTTATACAATGTAGTAAAAGTTTTATACTATGACTCACTCACTCACCAATGACACTGTTAAATTTTTTAATGATTGATTCTGCCGTATGCGATTTTGAAATGAGTATATTTGTTTTATTGAATTGTTCCTATTGTAAGGGCACAACTTTTATCGTCTGCCTAAATTATGAATAATTTTTTATACTCAGCCTACTCATACAACGTGCAATTTATTCTAAACCTATGTTGAATAATCTAATTAGCCAATTACTTTTTATTGAAATTATTATTTATTTATTAAAATAAATTTTTATTTATTTAAATATAACTGTCCAGTGTCCATTTATCAAAATTATTCTAAATTATTTTCTAGATGGAGAACCGAAACTGGTATTGTTAATTTAAGATACGGTTTAAACTCATTACTTTAACATTTGCATGCAGTTTATTTCATTCATTCATTCACTCTTTCATTCATTCACTCTTTCATTCATACACTCATCCATTTATTCATTCATTCATATAAATATATATAAAAACATGCCATGACACAGTTGTTTGGTATTCGCCTTCTACTTGACAATCACTTTACTTCTATTAACCTCTCATCTTCTAGCCATTATAAACTTTGCATTAGCCCAGATGTCATGTTACACAATTATTCTTTTAACATGAGGCAGTTAAGTACAGAAGTTGTTGATTCAGCCATGTTATAATTTACATATTTGAATTCTGAATCAACATCTGCTGCACGTCTGTCCGTTTGATATTTGATTTCACGAGTTTATTCAATCACTTCCTAGTTGCCAGTACATGTTCTATCAAAAAGTACACCCAAAATTTTGGTCTTAGTAATTATTACAACCGAGTTGAAAGTTCGATCAATATGATTAGTGAAAACATGTTTATTTATTGAAAACGGTCATGGCGACCTAACTTTATTGCGTCATCATGCATAAACATAAAATTGTGAAAAGAATATTATAAGTAATGAAATACATATTCATTTTTTCTACGTATGTTTTGAAATAGGCAATAATACGTTCAATATTATTCTACAGATGTATGTGGCTTGGTAGGCTTTGCTTGTCAAGTACTGATTGATTGATTGATTGATTGATTGATTGATTGATTGATTGATTGATTGATTGATTGATTGATTGATTGATTGATTGATTGATTGATTGATTGATTGATTGATTGATTGATTGATTGATTGATTGATTGATTGATTGATTGATTGATTGATTGATTGATTGATTGATTGATTGATTGATTGATTGATTGATTGATTGATTGATTGATTGATTGATTGGTTGATTGAGTAAAATTTTAAAATTTACTTGTTTGTCTTTGTCGTTTGCAATCGTATTTACTTTATATACAGACGTCCATTTATAAGCAGAAAAAACAATTTGAGACAGATGATTAACAACACACTTTTGTTGACGATGGGTATAGTAGCGATGAGCCAGCCCAAAATTTCCAACTCCATCGTCTGCCACTACTGCAAGGAAGAGGATGGATTCTGCACGAAACATTCGTCCAGTGCGCGAACTCCATCCTGCCCTGGTGACTACTGCATCAAATTGGTCGGGAAAGACAATAGTAAGAATTTATTTTCTTTCCACATTTCAAGTTTACTGAAATGTAGGTCTCTTTTAATTTTTTGTTCGTCAAACCTCTCAACTATATTTCAGATGGTAGTTATTAGCATCTGAGTCCGAACACTGCTACAGTAGGAGCAGAGGTCTTAGTCTATCTTACGTGCCTACCATTGTTTGACATGGTACAAATAGAAAATTTCAAATTAATATTCAAATTTTTACTAAAATTTTCAACTCTCAATGACCAAAACTCAACAAATCGGTTCTGCAGTTTTCACTAAATTTCTTCAACTTTCATAGACCAAAACTCAACAATTCGGTACTGCAGTTCAGATCCACCGTTTCTCGAAGGCTGCAAGAACCAAAAAATCAGACAATTCTTGCCGACGGAAGCGGAATGGCTGGAGACAATATGCGTCTGCCAGAAAAATTTTTGCAACGGCGCGATCGGACTAGCGAGAAATTTGATTTTGTTATTTGTTAATATGTTTAACTGCGTCCGTTTAAGCTTACTCAAGAAAAATGTTTTTCATGTATAACCATATCATGATAAAGTATCATTGTTTAGATATCTACGTTATAGTTATATATAGTAAAACACTTTCATATATCATAGTTTTATCATAATGTATATCATTTAATGGTGTATCGTCATTGTTTTTTATATAGTTATATATGTTTTATATTTATGTTGATATAGTATCATTACTTAAAAACGTCTAAGGATATCATTTTATTAATTACAATAGTTATCTGGTGATATGATATCACCATTTAATAATGTCGTAATTGTTAATTAGTGATACAGTATCATTAATTCACAGTTAATCATTAATATTGCAAATTTATCGTAGTTTAGAAAGAGATATAGTATCATAGATAACCAAGTGACGTGAGGGGAATTCCTGATTGTTAAGTGTGTTGAGTGACTGGAAATGAGTATTTCTGCGGAGATATCTTAAATAAATTAACAGCAAATTTAAATTTATTAAAATTTATTTTTTATTACTCAAAAAAAATCACAAGACATAAAGGTATATGCTGAAACTACAAATGTTGATTTGATTTTATAATAAAAGAAAATTTTCAGGCCAAAAATTTTTTTTTTATATTATATGCTCTTTCAGATTTTAAAAATTTTATTAAGCTCTGAACAAATTATTTCGGCATAAGTTTAGTAAATAATGAAAGGTTTCATTGTCCCTAAGCTACGTATGTAGTCTGTATCATGTATTAAAATTATGTTTTATATAAGGTATGTGTCATAAGTAGGAATGTAATGTTTTTATCGTTATATAGATGTTTAGATGTTTTTGCTCTTGAATTAGTGAAAGTACTGGCTTAGAAAACTAATAGACCTACTTTACAATTTTAATTAATTTGTTTAAAAAATAAAAAAAAAACCCGAACTAACCGTTGCAGAAATTGACGTTGCAGCTGCACGTTTCCATTGGTGCCTGTCTGCACTCGGAGTTTGTTTTCGGTCGATTAGAACAATTTCTTACCACGGTAAAAGAGGATTCTGTCAACAAAAAAGTTGTTGTGCAGGTAGTGTAATGGTTAAGGCGCCTGGCCTGTCTGTCGCAGTGACTGGATTCGATTGCAAAAGAAATCTCCTCTTATCACAGGTAATTGCGTGCTACGGTTGGATTCACGTTGTCTATGTCTGTTGCTGGCACCAATGTGAAATAGCTCGGAGAGGCTTGTAAAAAAAAACTTGCACCTCAAAATAATTTTAAAATATTGCCTGTAAGCTTTCGTCTTGATTAAGAAAATTGAATTAATCGTGAAAGTTTTGTGGTATAAGACTTAGAGGTTTCGGTTGCATCTTGAATACCGATACGAAACAACAAAATCGTAAAAAAATTAATAAATCAATTTTCTGCGCCTAAATGTGACAGAAAATAAATGATTTTAAAAGAGTAAAAGGAAAGAAAAATGAAACAGATATACATTCTCTACTTGAACTATCACACGCCAAAACATTTCAACTTAAAATATTCACCGCTGTTACGACTCGTCTGTATGTAGCAGAATTTTTTCCCGACACAGATGCCTCCGCAGTTATTTAGGGAGCATTTCGTAGAGGGGTCCAGGCAGGAGGGGTCCTTATTAGAGTTGCAAACGTGACAAATGACGGCCCTGGATTTGTGTGTCCGTATCGCTACCAGTGCTAAAAATATTATCGATACTCTTCCAATAGTGCCAGCGTTCATGCCTAGTTTCGATTTAGTCTCGTTTTAGTTTTTGATTGAGTTAATTTCTTGTTTATTTGTAATATATGAGTTTACTATTGTTATTGTTATTATTATATGTTTATTTTTCCAATAATGTGACAAAAAGACATTTTTCTTGCGCCCGCCTAGAGTGATGTCATAAAATAGTTTCTAAAAAATATTTCGCAATTATGAAGAGCTGTACAAGTTAATATTTTTATCGAGACTTTTTTGCAGAAAGTCCCTTAAAATTTCTATGTTCAACTCATGGAGACCGAAATCTAGACATTGAAAATTTATTTAAATTATTTGTCACCATATACGTAAGGAAATATGATTTAGAAAGCGACTTTACATTTTTTTGCCTACAGACATGTAGTACTAGATAGAATCTTTTTTACTTAAACTATGTTTTTTGATATTATATGATTAAATTTAATTGTTGGCTTGTTGCCGGTTTCAAAAAATGAAATGGTCGTTGAATTGCTTAAGCGAGTGTATTATATTAAAAAATCATCAAACTATGAAAGAAAAGTTGTTAGAAAAATGTTAAAAATGAAGTTAGACAGTTCATACAGGTTGAAAAAAAGCTGAACTACAAAAAAATAACAAAACTTCATCCTTGTGATATAAAATTTCAATACGAACAAAAAAAGCGAGTCAGTGAAATAAATGTTGCTTATTCAAATAGAGCACGCATTTAAGGCAAGAAATTCAATGCCAGTATAGGAATGAGACCAATGAGGAGGAATGTGAACTTCAAAAAGGCAGAACCCGAAATTGTTGTTGTGGCAAGCTCTGGCTGGGCAGTAGTTGTTGTTGTTGTGGCTGTTGTAGTAAAAGTCGTAGTAATGGTTGTTGTTGGGCTCTCAATGACAACAACAACCACATCCAAAACTGTAGAAAACGACGGGACACCTTGAGGTAATAAGTGAACTTTTTAATTACCTGGAAAATTACTTACTTAATTACTTAATTGATTAATTGAGATTTTAATTGATTAAGATAAGTAAATATTATTTTTCAAATTTTAAGCTGTCCGTTTAAATTAATCATAAAACTCAATTTAACAATCCTACGCATTTGAAATTTTGCACAAACAGTCTCAACACAATTAACCACTATTCATATTTCACATTTCGATTCATACATTTAAAAACTATGACGTCCATTTCATTACAAATGAACACACCATTATCCGTGGCTTTGATCTGAATCATCGTCTGCAAAGGTTGATCGACCGGTTTGATAACACTCAGCCAGCCAGCCAATGGGTCCAATGAAAAATATTTTGATTCAGCGGAGGGCATCAAAGTGAACGTGACTTTGTCGTTATCATCATCCTTAGCTGCAAACTGTTAGGAAATTTCATTTCGATTTAGCAATTTGAATCGAAAATTATTTAAATATCTTAAATTTGGACCTAATTGCAAATACATAATGTTTATGATGCGTGGATATACGCGTATTCACTTACGCTGCGCGCGCGTGTGTGTGTGTGCGTGTGTGTGTGCAAGTGTTATTGATATATCTGACAAGTGATTAAGATAAAGTGACTCTCAACCTTTTATCATAACAACGTTCAGTTTGCAAGCTTTAGAAAAAGAAACGCCAACCTTGTAAAGGTTAGGCACCAACTGGCCACTGAACCACTTCAAAGTGATACCCGACTGGTCAAGGAAGGCCGGAGGAAACTCATTAACATTTTGCACATTGACCTGAACAGTTGCTGAGTCGTTGAGGGCTAGGCTCTGATCCAAATCATCGTATGCAGTGACTGTCAGGCTGTATGAACTTTTTTCTTCAAAGTTCAAAGATTTCGCTAGGGTTATCTGACCTGCAATCAAAATACGCAACGTTTATTGGGTTTAACATTCGAAGATTAGTAAAATTTCTTTGAGTCTAGGAATTTTTATCTTATTTTATTATGGACATTTTTATTTTATTATAAAAATCCAACTAAACCCAACCAGTCAAGACGTTGATGGAAAAAACGTTGTCATCATTGCCGGCGCGGATGCGATAGAACAGCGATAGGCTATCGTCATCTGTGCATGACAACACGACATCTAACACTGTTCCAACTTGTAGGGATTCATAGACAGTTGTCTAGAATTTCAATGAAAAAATGCGAATGGTACCAAGAAATTGAAAATTGAGAACTAATTATTTAGAGAATAAAACTATTTAAATATTTTCTACGTAAGAACCTCACCTCGTAAACTTTTGGCTTAAAAACAGGCGGGAGAACATTGACATCACTGATAAATATATTCAAGAACTGATTGTTTGACGATACGTGCAACTGATCAAAAGCCTGAACCGTTATTTTCAACTGTTTTATAGTCAAATTGGAACTTAAAGATGTAATCAAATGAATCGATCCGCTGTTTTTGTTGAGGGAAATAAAATTTTGAGGAACAGATGGCTGACTTGGAACCATTGAGTAAGTCAGTTGGGCTAAAATATAAAATTTTATGTCATAAGATAAAAAATTACCAACTAAATTGAAATTGATTCAAAATAAAACTAACGATTCAGATCGCAATCGTCGGCTTTGAACATGAAAAGAAGGGAATTTACAGGAATTTTCCTGAACACAGTAATGTTTGTTTCCGTGCTGTTAAAAGAAGGCACGCAGTTATTGACTTCCAAAATGGATAATGTTAAATTTGATGTCGACTCCAAAGATGGAACACCAGAGTCAGCAACTTTCAGTTCGATGACAAACGTATCAATCGATCGTTTGGCGAGGATTGCTGCATTCTGGATTCTTAATTTTTTGTTTGTGTTGTCGGCATCAAGTATGAAATAGATGTTGAAATTTAAATTTGGAGGTGAAAGTATTCTGGCAGAAAAATTTTTAATTTCAGAATTTAGGCCGAAATCTAAATCATATGCTGGAACGAGAATGAGCTCGGTGTTGATCGGAGTGCTTTCATTTACTTCGATAAAATAACTTGGCTTGGAAAACATTGGGTAGTGGTCATTGATATCTTCAATTTTCACCGAAACATCAACAGAATTAGAAAACTGACCCGTAGGCAGAGCACCGTTATCGAAAGCCAGAACTTTGAACTTAATTATTGTATTTTCGCTCGTTGAAACCAAAGGAAGCAAATTAGTTATCAATCCAGTGTCGATACCCACATTGAATGGAACAGTGTTGAGTGAAACAGAGCTTTCCATGTTGAAAGTTATCTTTTCATTTGGATCATCTCCATCCCAAGCAGATACATTGCCAATGACAACTCCAACAAAGTTGGTTTCGTTAACGCTGAAAGTGTAGTTGGTGCTGTTAAAACTCGGTTTAAATTTATTCGATTTGACGATTTTCAGCGTGAAATTAGCAACAGTAGTTAAGGGGGGAGAGCCAGAGTCTCTCACTACAAAAGAAAAACTGTGCACTCCCACGTGATTTGCAAATGAGGAAGTTGACTTAATTGTTAGATCATTTTTATCGTAAGTCAACAAATCTTGATTATCCGGATGTAGCAGTGTGGTCGTAACAACGGCATTCAGCAGTGCATCCTTATCATTCACGAGAACATTGCCTAGTATGACAGCACCTGATGGAGTGACATCTTCTGCAATAATTAACTCAGAGAGTCCAGAAATTTGAGGTGGATTGTCGTTGGCATCGGTTACAATGACAAACACCACAGCCGATCCGGATTTTGGAGGATTCCCAGAATCAGTTGCAAGGACGATGATGCTGTACTGATCTCGTTCTTCTCGATCCAACTGTCTCGTAGAGCTGATGATTCCTTTTTTGATTGTAAATAAAAATTCATCTCCGATAATATCCTTTTAAAATAGTGCGTTAGTCAAAATAATTTTCCACGCAGGATATTGAAATGGTAATTAGGTTAAAACTTTTTTGTGTTAATGCCCTAAACATTTGCGTCTATAATCATTCACTCATTTGAAATTATTTCAAAAACATTTATATTTTATTTTTTAATCAAATTCATTTGTTTCAAATGCCAAAAATACTTCACGTGCTTTGTTAGAAGTTAAAAGATCGTTAGCTTAACTTACTTGAGCTGCGAATATTTTAAATGTAAAAGTCATTTTGTTAAATTCACGATTACACAATGTCAATCTTTAAATAAAGACTTAAAAAATTTTTTTTAAAACCCACAAAAAAAAATGTAATTCACCAACCAGTACTTGGCGCAATGCTGAATGGAAGGTCATCTTGTGGCAGCAGTGAATATGTGATGACATCATTATCTTCATCCGTAGCATTGTTAACAGCTATCAAAACTTGGGGTGGAGTGAGATTTTCTAATATAGTGGCACTAAAGTTGTTGGGTGTAAACGTTGGCGTGTGCAGATTACTACGAGTTGTGTACAGGGTATAGACGTGCGTTCCTAAAAAATTATGATCAATTGTTTTTCAATCAAAAAATAGCATCAAACGTAAAAATTAATTTAACTTTCAGTGAAAAATTTTGTGTAAATAAAAATAAATAAATTAACGAGAAACCCGGTGCAGAAATGTAGTCAAAGATTTGTAAATAATTTTTCTTGCTAATAACTTGCAGCCAAACATTGTGCCGAACATCCAAATACTTCCCATTGGAATTGGTAACTGACGTGAATGTTTGCTGAGCGTTTAACGTTGGCGGAAAAAGGGCTCTCAGGTAAGACCAGCCAATTTTGTCACATGTGACTGTGAGCTAGGATATAGTGTTAGAAATCTTGATATTAGGAAAATAAAAATGGCAAGCATTATCCGTAAATTTCCTTCAAATATTGAAAAATGATAACCTCAAATACACTTAACAAATTTTATTAATTAAAATTTTTTATTTTTAATTGTTGATTAAAACAGTAATAAGCGAGAGACAGAATGTTATTTTACCTTGAGTGTTGTCCCAAAAGCAACGAGACCACTGCTGCTAGTGCTACACATGGAGACATTCAACGGTCTGGTCCCATTTGAACTGTCATACACCGAGTTTGGAATTACATCGACCGTGATGTCTGGATCAACGACGAGATAATCAACTATGGAGTCAGATTTTGGATTATCAATGAGGACTGTGTGAAGCAGCTCATGAAATTTGACATCTTCCAGTAGAGAAAGTTTTGAATCGCCTGTAGAAAAATATTCCAAAACAAATGTTTTAATTAAAAAAAAAATTGAGTACTAAGATTCAACAGTCACCAAGTGGATTCGTATTTTGGAAAGTCGCCGAAAAGTTGGAAAAGGTCCCAGACAGCGAGCAAGTCATTATCCACTGAACCGAAACAGCCGACATTGGAGAGATGTCTCCAAACTGAATGCTTAGTGACGGCGAGATATCCTGGCCGGCCAATCTCGTGCCTACAATTCTGAAATCCACCAACAGACCCTTCTCGTTATCGATAATTTTAGGTTGGGAAGATGTTATTTTGAGATCCGTGGCTGTCCCGCGGCCGGAATTAGTGATGATCATGCCCAATATGAATGGGACTGCAGGTTCAACGACATCTGGTTGACGGTATAATTTTATAAAAATATAATTTGTAGATGGAATGTTTTAATAGTTTACTTAAATTTTTTTTCTGTTGGCATGAATAAATGGATTAAAATTTTTTAAAGTTATTTATGAATGTTCAGAAATAGCTATCTCATTGAGACTAACTCGTAGTGAAGGGATCATCGCTGTAGACATATTTCTCAAGGAAGTAGTCGATGAAGAGACGAGGATCAGGTTTAACTGTGATCGTGTCGGGAAACAAAGGAATTGTCAGACTCTCATTGCCTAAAATTTTTTTGTAAAAATAAAGTATTTAATTTTAAAATTTATTCCTACAAAAATTAACAAAATGAACCATCAAAATCGATAGAGATAATTTGCATAATGGCTGAAATAATTTCACACCAATGGTGTAATGAAGAGTGCCTCCGACGTTGTACTGAGTGTCTGAAGTCGGAGCTGCCGAGGAGTAAGGAATGATCAGCCAAGTCACGATGCCTTTTTTTCCTTTCAGTAAAACTCCATTACCCGATGCATTTGTTATGCCTTCTAATTTTGATTGACCTGTAAAAAATAGGAAAAATCTACAAATTCGATTTGGTTTAATTTAGATAACGGAGAATGTGGAGCGAAACATACCTATCGCGAACTTGTAAATCGCATCATTTGTGGTGTTGCCAGTTCCTCTAATGGTGATTTCTAGAACGATTTTGATATTTGTCAAATCGCTTGATTCGCCATTTTCCAGCTGCAGTTCAGCTTCAAATCCAGTCCTCGTTAGTGTGACATGTTGTTGGATTTGAATACGCACTTTTGCGCAGACACCTTGTTCGGGGCTCTGAAATATGATGAACACTCTTCAAAACAACCATGTTTGTAAAATACGTTCAATGAAAAATGGGAGTAACGTACATATTCTGATCGTTGAAAAATATCATAAGCTTCATTGTACCAATCACTGATGCTGGCTTTGTTTGCCTGTTAAAAATTAAAGTTAAAAAAAGTTTCAATTATTCAACAAGTTTACACAAACTTTTTTGGCTTCGTTTTCGTAGGCTTTCAAGTTGTTTTCACTTGACTGAACTTTTCCCAGGTTGATCATTCCATCCCCTGAGCCATTGCCTCCCTTGTCCCAATCGGCAAATGATGAATTGTAGCGGAGAACCAGTTTCCTGACCATTTCCAAAGTTGCATTGCTCGGAAGTGGACTCTTCAGGATGACATCGAACTCTTTTGCGGTCACGACTGAACCACCTTCGCTGGTTTCGGAGAATGCTGGTTCAAAAATTTCGGACCACCATTGAGTGGGCGGCTCTTGGAGGTAAAGCCTTGAAAGGCATGCATATTAATAATTTGTTTTAATTATAAAAAATAGTATATCACTTTTTTCTTTATAAAATCATGAAAAACTGTTAAAGTTGAAAAATAATATAAATAAATGTAAATACAAACCAAGCTTCATCTCCTAAAAACGTTATCCCAAGTACGTAGAATTCATTGATAGCTAACGATCTTTTGGCCAATACAGGCCCAAGGTCTTCTTTGCTTAGCACGTTTGTTCCAGTTCCTCCACCACTTCCTGATCCTGTTTCTCCACCACTTCCTGTTCCTGTTCCTCCACCACTTCCACTTCCGGATCCTACGCCACTTCCCAAGCCTCCCCCATTACTTCCGCCAGAGCCACTCCCTGACTGACAACCCCCAATAAGCTTTACACACCTGTCATTTGAAGTATTTTTTAAAAATTTGTTTGATTCATGACAAAATTAAATAACGATTTCTGCTGAAAAATGTTTTATGGTTATAAAATACTGTATGAAGATTTTAATTTTACTAAGTGAATAACCGATTAAATTTTAATTTAGTATTCAATTTGAAATAAATTTTTTTATTTTGAAATGATTTAAAAAGGCAACTTACATTTTTAGGGAGTGCACCTTCCTGACGCACTGCATCACGTGATAACCGTATGACATTCTGTTCGGTTGGTAGTAAACAGATATGCATCTGGAAACGAAAGAGAAGATGGTCCAGCAAAGTTCAGGATAGTTTGAGTTGCACCCACAGCTGACACGAGACACACCTACCACACCGAACCGACCTGTTTTTAAACGTTTTTGAATTTTCCTTATCAGCTGATATTTCAATTTTTTTTATTTTATTCACATTAGCACTGTGAAGCAAATAAAAGACATTTGGAACAAACAAATATGTCATTTGTGAAAACTGGAGATATTATTTCAATTTATAAGTATTATCAATATTAATCTTTTTTTAATTATTTCTCAAAGGCATCAACGCGCGCGCACGCACATTTTACGGGTGGGGCGGAAATCACTCTGCATCCAAACTTGGTCACTGTTACAGCAAGACCCAAGCATTTCAACAATACAACAAATCAAAAATTTTCAAACCTCCAATCCACCAGCCCCAACCAAATCCAAAAAAATTCCAAGTACAAATCACCGCATTATGAATGGACACGCCAACTGAAACATAGCGTCTGGTGTCGCACACGTAAAAATATGTTGCCCTAATGGATATGCCTAAACAACCTCTGTGTACATAATACGAATTTAAATATATTGTTATATAAAGTTACTAATCTAAAATTTAACTAAGCAAAATAATCCAAAATTATTACATAATGCTAAGTTACTAATCTGAAATTGAACTAAAGAAAATAATCAAAAATTATTACATAATGCTTCTTTTGTTTATATTCCTTTTAGCCAGACTGGAGCCCACATATTGCTGCTTTTTCGCATCATCCGTGAGTACCTCAGCGACGACGTAGAAGGTTGTATTGGCCGGTATGTCTCCGAAGTCCGTGTTGTTCTGACGGCGGGTGCATTGGAAACAAATTCATATAATGCAACGTTGAAGGCTGTATCAGACGATTATTAAATGTTTGGAAATAAGAGAATGTTCACCATTGTTAGTGTGAGGAAAGGGTGGTCACCAATAGAAGGTAACGTTATTTGAAATCCTTTAGCAGAGATTAATCCGTGGTTTGTAATCTTAAACTGCAAAGATTTCAACACTCCAGTTTCCAGTAGGTCAAGGTCGATCTCATTCGGTTCCATTGTTACAACGGGGATGGGGACGTGGGTGGTGAAATCAGCTTCCAGTGTGATGTCGTATCTGTCTTCTAGGGAAACTGCTTTCACGGCCCAACTGTTACAATTCGTGTTTTCTTGTTTGTTCATCACCAAAATATTAAAATCATTATCAATGGAATTTGTTTTCTAAAAATTGTATGTTCAATTATTATAAAAATGTCTCCTGCCTGTAAGTGACAGCATTCCTTTGAACAAAGACGGAAACGACATCTTGATCCTGCGATGCAAATATTACGCGCGAATCAGGAATATGCTTATCAGCTGACGTCTGCAGGGTGTAATAATCCTCCAAGATGTTAACAAACGTCACCATTCCTGAAGCGGAGCAGTGAAATTATTCCGTAATAAATTGATATTTATTAATTAATAGTTAATTACCCGTGGAGTCAGTAAATTTTGTCGCAATAAAGTCTGAGTATTCAGAAGTGAGGACCACTTTGGCTCCTGCCAGCAACGGCTTGTCGTCGGAGAAGTACGTATATTCGTCTTCAACTTTAACCGTTAGGTTTAAGTAACTTGTGGACACTATTGTAAACCTGCAAATTGAAAAAAATGAAAGTTTTGTTTTTACAATTGTAAATAACATTTTTCATGACAAGACACTGAGCTTATTAGTTTCAGCTTAACATCGGTCAGCCATTGGAATCAAACCTGAATTGAAACGTAGCTCCAGTTTCTGACGAAACGATTGCAACGGCTCCTTGGACGTCTCCTATAGCCGCAGCTGATGGTGGGTTGTAGGAAAAAATTAAAGTAGAGCTCTGACCTGGTTCGAGAACAAGACCAAGTTGAGACAGACTGGTCAGGGTTGTTGCGTTCGTGCCAAAAGATATGAATTTCAGATTTGGAATGCTGGGAAACTGAGGGAGTACATTTGTTGCGGATCTTGCTCCGACGTTTGTTACTTGCACCTGCAAACCGTTTTTTAAAGTTACATACAAAATTTACGATTAATTATTCAAAAGAATTTTAACTTTAGAATTAAATGTTGAAACTGTTTTGCAAAAACAAAACTTTGAAATATTATACAAATGGAAAAAACTAAATGAGAATTTTGAAAAATAAAAACCCAAGAATTGAAATAGAAACGTTCACTTGTTTAATTAGCACTCCGCCCCTAGGAACAGATGATTCAATGACACCCGGCACCAACTCGAATGCAGGATTCCTTGGTTGAAATGCATAACTGAAGATCACTCTTTTATTCAAACCTTCAGATGTTACGAATGTAATTGGGAAGGAACCAGATAGTCCTTGGTCAGCTGAAAAAAGTACATCACCATAATAATTCCTATAGTCAATGCCAAAATTTTGTTTTAATAACAATTAAACACCAACCTGAAATGTTGGCGTTTAGGGAAATACTCTCATTGGATCTTAGAATGACTGCCAAGGAACAGTTTTTGATAAGAGTGTTTGTCGATGGTAACCATTTGCAAGAGATTTGTGACGAAGTTGAGAATAGAGTCAGTTCCATCGGCGGGGTGTACATCTGTAGGCAGGTTGATGCTTATCCTAATTTTTTTACCTTCATGTTAGATGTTAACTGAATTGTTTTTGTTTAAAAATGGAAAAGTAATCTTGCTTCAGACAAATATGCACAAGTACATAAGCTAACGTACGCCTTATGTTTGAATTCTCCAAATCGAAAAATTTGTTTTGAGGAACAAAATCAATGCACATAAAATTATTTCTTGTAACATTAATTTTCATATCGTTGATAAAACATACGCATTAAATATGTAATCAGATCTCGCGACCACAAAATTTTTCAGCATTTTATAAATATCCAAAAAAATTGGATGCTAAAACGTAGATATTTCTAATAAATTTGTTTTTTGTAATTTTATGTTAGATTTTAACTAATAAAATCTAATTTCCAATCTTCAAACACAACCAACCAGAAGATATAATCTTGTCAAAGGATCCAATCCATTATTATGAATAGTCAAGAAGTTTTTAAACTGGTACTTGTCAACATATCCTGAAACACTCGCCGGATTTAAAAATAAATTCACGCCGTACACAGTCCAACTTTGCTGCACATTCGTCAACGTATTTCCTACCATTGCTGGGTGAACTGCATCCTAATTCAGAAAAAAAAAATTTTAAATTACCAAAAATTCAATTCAGAAACAAAATTTATTTATTTTAAATAATTTTAACATACGACAATTGATTATAAGATGTTATGAAAAAGAATTAAACGTTTCGTACCACTTCTGTCAGACCGACTTCAAAGTTAAAAGGTTGAAAGTTTATGCTAAAAATACTCTTCAGAGGAACTGACGAGGCTGTCGTTGGTATTTTTCTCAGACCATAATTTGATTTTATTCTGAGGTTTAGGAAAAAAACGCAAATAAAAATATTGTAACTTTAATAAAAAAATCACTTGAAAATTCCCAAACACACCAAAAAAACTGTACTTACAGGAGAACCAGAGGTATTTCAGAATTGTTGAAATTATCATTGCCCTTGGAATCAACCCACGCTATTTTGCCACTAATCGTGACTGGTTGAGGTTGTAAGAAAGGACCTTTTGGTAGGGAATCGATCACTAACGAATATGACGGTGCTACCGAAATTGAAAAACTCGTCACAGATTTGCCGTATTTATTTGAACATTCAATTTTAAAGTTATACGACTTCGTGTTCGCGGGAACTCTCGTCCAAGTTAATAAACCTAAATTCTCATCTAGGTTTGCTTGCTCGGGAGATAATATCAAAACCCATCTCAATATAGAGCTGCCCTAAAACAAAAACCTAGAGATTAATTTTTTTCAAATAAATGAATACCAACTCAACTTGATCCACAAACTTGATCCACGGTCAGTTGTAAAATGAAATTTTGTCCTTCAACTAGTGATAAATTCTTAACTGGAGAAATTTCTGGTGGCAATCCGAGCTGGTCGCAGCCATCGCCAGACCAGGGCACGAAACAGGTACATCGGCCCATGTCACACGCGCCTCGCTTGGGAACCGCGTTGCTCCCGCACGAGTTAACAGGACATGAAGGATTGTAAGTAAAATAGAACTGAAAAGAATTTAACAACATTTTAAAAAACATTAAATGCAATTAATAGGTTCTTAATTTTAAGTAGTTGTGCAAATAAAACCGGTTTGGCGTGTTTTAAATGAATAAATGGTAAAAGTCTACTTTTGAGTCGAGATATCCTTCAATTTCGTTTATTTTAACTTCCAACAGCACAACACCTGCCGATTTCTTCGGACTAACGCATGCAATCTTGTTCTCAGATACCCACGTTCCAGGAACTTCTAGATTGCCGTCGAATCTAGGCAGCAAAAAGTTATTTTCATTTGAAGTTTTGGAGTAAAATTTTGGCATGCACATGTTAATGGAACATGCAATGATTATTTGTAACTACAGAAACATGTTTGAATATTTCTTAACAAAAAATCTCACTTGCATTTGTACGTTGCAACATTTGGCAAATTATTTCCACTAATGAAAATATTTGTTTCTCCAGCATCAGGTCCGGAGTCAGGCGAGATGTTCAGCAAACTGACCAGCGGTTGACAGAAAGGTCCAGACAATTTTGGTGCACACTGATCGCACAGGAGACCAGCATAATTTTGGTCGGTGCAGTCACATAGACCTGTTTAAACAATGAGTGCTATAAGTTGGAATCGCATAAGTATCGAACTTTACCGTTAACTTTGTTGCAAATCCCGTGAACACAGTTTGGACATGGAGCACAGTTACTTCCCCACCAACCTGTTTTGCACTGAGAACAGTCGGAACCGGAATATTGTGAGGCACATGCACACCTGAAATTTTTTATTAGCAGTCAAATATTCTTCCGTCAATCGGATGTTTATTTAAATTTTAGTTTGAATTCGAATGCGACCAACTGGTTTGGGCCGGCACAGATTCCCTTTCCGGAACAGTTGTTTTGCTGTCTGCAGTCAGCCCATGAGCAATCTTCACCCGACCAACCAGGACTGCAACTACAATTGTTTGGTCCAACGCAGACACCCTTATCTAAACAATCGTAAACCCTAGAAATTTAATTAATTTTTTGAAATAGTTATTTTTATATACTATTAATTAGTATTGAAATAAAATTTCAAACCTTGAACACGAATATTTGCTGCAGTTTAAGCCAGTCCATCCCGCATTGCATTGGCAGACGTCCGGAGCCACGCACATGCCATTACCTGAGCAGGATTGAACTGCCAAACAAGAAAATTTTGATTCGTTCAAAAAAGGCTCGAAGATTATGCGACCAACAGTTGGATCAACAGTTGTGTCCTTCAACCTTGCCTTAACATTCGCCAAGATGTTCGAATCCCACCAATTATACGTACAATTTTGACTGAATCCAGATTTATATTTAGCAACAAAATCGTATCTGAAAAATAAAGAAAAGTGATTATATCAAAAAATGTATGAAATTGTCATTAATTCAGTACCTAACAAGTGGATTTGATAACAAATTCGAAGAAAAGGTAGTAATCGGGAGGCTGGAGCAAACAACTCCTTCGGATGGAAAATTGTTCAGGAAAACATTGGATGTCACGTCGAATCGAGAGTTTGTCCGGTTGAAGAGGTCCAGATAGTACTGTTCCTTATCACTCAATGTGGTTTTGATCTCAAAAATACATTTCCCGCCGTTATTTTCGAACCTGTTTTGCGATATTGCAGACTGAACTGAAGGCCACTGGTCGATCGCTCCCCAATAATCATCATACATGTAACTCACTGAAGCCTGTTTTATAATTGTACCACAGTTTTAACTATTCATGATAACTATATGAAAAAAAATGAACATGATCAACTGTGACGTAATTTCTTGCAACTTACCATGTTGTAGTTTTTGGTTGTGTCCGCCATGTTCGAAGTGAATTTGTTTCTCAATATTTTGGCCTCTATCCCATAAATATTCCAGAGAACGACGGAACTGTCAATCGAATTGGAAAAGGTGCTGTCCAGGACTTGAACGACAATCTTGTCTTTCGACTGAAAATTTGTTGCTCGAGTAATCTGTATAGAACGGGACGACAGAGACTCAAAAGAATTTTCCTGCAACAGAATGTTGTTGTCATTATTGTAAAGGTTAAGCGATATAGCCGCGCCATCGTAGTGAGATAAGGAAAGTTCGTCTGAAAATGACGACCGGATGATTTCAATGTTTGCTCCTGCAAAATCACTTGTACTGATACTCAGTCGTGTGTCTGCAAAGTTAGTACCGCTAACTTTCACTGAACAGTTCGTCGGGTAGTTATTATTGTACTTAGCAATGGTCATTTTGTAGACTTGGTTGAATGCGCAGTTGCTTATCTTCAGCACCTCGGTCCCTGGGTTGAAACTGAATTTTTGGTGGAGTACTCCATAGAAATATTCATTAAATTATAAAATAATATTTAAACATTTGTTAATAATCAGCTGTTATAAAATTCGAGATCAAGTTTTTAAAATTAAAAACTGACTCACTTAGTAAATACATCCGACGAAACAGCGGCAGAACTGATCGTGTTTTCAGTGCCTACAAGCATCTTAAATTCGCCCAAAACGTTGCTGGCTTTCACGTTTGACAGGCTCATCTTATTGGCTTTCAACACTACAAAACTAGATACACCCACGACCTCCACTTGATTCAAAATGATTTCGCCTTTCAAAAATAAATAATTTTTTTCCATTGAATATTTTGTATGTTTTTAACCAAAAATGCCAAAAATTAATGCCAAACTTGATGTTATCGAAATGGTTGCTGGGTTTATTAATCTGACGGGAGAATTCGCGTTAGCTTGGATTATTAAGCTGCCTGTAAGTTGAATCAAATATATTTTTTATTCGTAAAATCGTGTGCAAATGATTCCACAAGTATTTTCTAGATATTTTGGCAACAAAAACAGTTTGAACTGTAACATTTTTGAACATTTGATTAATAAAATCGTGAACATTTAAAAAAAAACAAGACGTCGCATTTAAAAACATATACAAATTTTGAATTAATTTTGAATAATAATAATAATAATATAAATAATAATTAACGTTAAACAAACAATTGAACCGTTGAGATAATTGAACATTTAAATAATAAATAACTAGAATGGTCCATTAGAAATAAGTTTCAAAGTTGATCTATAAAAAATGAAAATTTTATTAATCCTAAACATTTTTTTACCTTCCACGGCCAAACTTACTCCATCGTTAAATTTCAACACCACTCCTCCAACTAGTGTTAGAGTAACATTTGGTCTGTACATTGGAATTGAAATATAACAAAACAAATTAAAATATCAATAAAATATTTAGTTGTCACTATCCATTATATATATCCATGTTATCCACGGAGACTTAGAATAGGTAGGAAGTTTTGGGGCTAAAGCCTCCCACCAATTGAACATTTTACTAAGGTCAAGACAAAAATGAACGAAATCCTTCATATAAATTTGTTAAAATTTGAACTGAAAACTATTTCAGTCCCTCAGACCAATAAAACTAAAAAAAATTTTCAATATCAAACTGTTAAAAATTTATAATAATAATAAGCAAATAAAAGATCGTCAAGCTTTTTCCAAAAAAATTAAAAAATTTAAGACCTTTTCAAAAAATTTGTAAAAAGATGTATTAATGAAATAAAATAAATTTGTATCATAATTCAAAGATAATTGTTTTAAAATTTGAAGAACAAACATACGGAACGTATATAGAATGCAAAATGGTGTAGAAGCCAATCGAATTGTTACTGAGAACTCTCGAATAGCCAACTTTCCCTCCAAAAAACTCTGCAAAACGTGTTCGATCGTTAACAAATTGTTTATCTATTTTTTCATTGCAAATTAAAAATTAAACTTTACAAACTTTTTGAATGGTCTATTTTTACGATCATTATGTTCTTATTTTGAATACGCATGTTCTCTTACATACTTAAATATTCCTTAATTACAGTTAAACTTTTGCCTCATCACAAGGCTGTGACATCCACAATATTCTAGATCACACGACGCACGCACGCATTAGGCGCGCGCAAGCACCAACCAAACACTCATCACGTATAATTGTCTTCAAGTTTTGGACAGAATGTATTCAAGGCAGGTCAGCACGCAACAACAACGCAAGACATGGCTCTACTACCGATCGAGCTAATTTGCCGACAACGGAGCGCTGTATGATTTGCGCAAGCTTATATTTATTCTACAAACTGACTAAATAACTATGTTTTAGCTTAGCTTGGCTATTATTTAGATAACTAAATAAAAAAAAATTACCATTATATTGGTTAGGATCTGGAATAGATACATCAACACTTTTTTCACTTCCATTGTTGACCAGTGTTGAAGGCCAGATATCGACAGGAAAATTATTCGGGTTGTTATAGAAACAGAAGATTCTTGAATGAATTTTTTTAAATTAGATGTTCAGGTGATTGTTAGAGAAAAATATAATTACATTTTCAACTAATTAACTGTAAGATTATTCAGTTGAAAAACTCAGGTAGGCAAATAATTTTGCTTGAAAGGTTTAATAATATTTTTTATAGAACAATACAGCATGCAAAGAATTCGAATAAATAAAATAAATAATGAAATAAAATAACTATCTAAGATGAAGTGTACAAAAAAAATTAAGCTGTAACTAATTACAAATTAAAATTTGAAAAAAATACCAAGAGAACAATTACAATCGATGAGATGGATGAATGAATTTTTAGAATCGGAGATGAATCCAAAGGTGAATGAACGTGTGAAAGTCCGCTTACTAACCTTTGAAGTGCACTGGACCAATCTGTTACCATCCACTTGTTGTATTTCAAGTTGTAAACCGTAGCCGAGACTCCAGACAGTCGATCCCAATTCGACTCAATGTACACATCCCATTGTAGATCTGGACTATAAAAACTGTTGTTGTTGATGGTGAGCGTGTAGGAATGGTAGTAATTGAAGTAACGTATCGTTCGTCCTCTTCCTTTGTTGTTCAGAAATATATTATCCGTTATAATTGCGCTTGTTGTAGAATATAAAAATATGAGTTCATATGCTATGCTGTTGTTGATGATGGAGTTTCCTGAAACCTGAAAATATTTAAACCCAATATATATTTGTGATCAACATTAGGCAAAAATTTGATTCCAAAATTTGATATCAGTCTTAAAATAGATTTCAAAAATTTGAGCTTACTCTCAATTGGTAGCAAGAAACCAAATAAATGAGATAGGTGCAGCTGCAGTCAAGAAATTTATTGTTTTCTAAATTGGCGTTCAAATAACTCAACTTCATAATATAATGATTGTAATAATCTTCTTTAAACATTACTTCGACGAAATCGTTGTTTTCGACAGAGACATAAAAATATGGTGTAATTGAACTTCCATATATTTCTAAAACAATTGTATACATTTTGGACCTAAACTGAGAAGACTTTATGATGGCTTTAGATAGCTTGCTTTCAACTCTAGACGATTCCATAGAAACTGCGTAAGTTTGAAATTGTAAAAAATTGCAGCTATCTACGACGAGAGATCCTTGGCCCGTCCATTTGATTGCGGCCTCTTTTGTGTTTACGAAAGTGTTGTTAGTTATGAAGCATTGGAAATCACTCGGTGAATCGACTAATTTGAAAAGCAATCCAGATCCTTTTGAATCAAGGGAGAGCAAGTTCTCAATTGTAAAATTGCCAGTCGCATAGCCACTTATTTGGAGGGAGTGAGAAAAACTGTTGTAGATTTCAATGTTCTGTAGAAGGGGTAGTTGACCTTGGATGGAAATTCCCAAAACTGGGTTGAACATTCTGACATGATTGAGAGTTGATCGTTCTCCAGCAGTACCTGCTAATCGCATAAAATGATCGAATGTGGCTTGGAAACATTAGCATTCAAACAAATTGAGTTATAAAAATAAATCTTATTGGTTTTGGTTTGAAAAGAGTTCATAAAAGAAAGCATCTAAAAGGTTGGCTTTTTTATTTTATTAATCATTTTCTGCTTTTATGAAATTAAAATGAATCGCCAAAAATTATTTTTCCTCTGATGACACTACCCATAATTTTTCTCTCATTAAACTCCGCAGCAATACTCTAAAAACTTTTAGCATCTTTATTTAAACAAATATCTTATTTAAATTTTCTATGGATTAGATTTGTGTACAAAAACTCAATAATATGATAATACAAAATTTCTAAGTTAAGCTTAGTTTTTCAGATTCCAATGTTTAACAATATTTTTTGTGAAAAACTGACAAAATAGACAATAGATGCACAGTAGAGTGTTAAAACATTTTCAAAATAAACCAACCAGTGGCTCGTTTTTTTCTTGCAGCGGTCGAACCTTCCCACGCTTCAAATTTGAAACTGAATGCGCTTTGACTACTGGAGGATGTAGCTTCAAAAATGGTAGATAAGCTTAATGACGAAGAAGTCTCATTAACTTTGATGACGACATTGTCAGCTGGAGCAGATGAAGAAAGAACTTTAATGGAAACGTGACCAGAATCAGATGGATTGAAAGGTGGTGTTGAAACAAAAGATGCATCTTTATTAAAGTCAGCAAGACGTCTGGGATTGTTTTTGGGATCTAGAACCAAGCCATTACTATTTTTCCTAAATTTAAATAATTAGCAAATTTCATTTTAAATACAAAATCCACAAGAAGCAGTTTACAAAACGTCAACCTCAAAAACCATCCAGGTTTTTTTAATGACATCAGCGAGTAACAATCAGAGACCGTTCCTAGCAAGCAAGGTGTTATTTGAAGAAAAACATCACTATCACTTTTCAATTGAGAATCCAAAATGACGTCATCGGTTGACGTCACGGTGAGTCTCTTTCCTGATTTGGCGGTTATTCTGACGTATTTTTCTAAGAGGTATAAATTTCATTGTATTACTATGTTTTGTATTTGTTACATTAAGTGAAAATGCAGGGTTCAGTTATTCATTCGTAACATACAAATTTGTAACAACCTGTTTGCATTGGTGGTCGATCAATACAAGTTACATTGTAAAAACTGGAAGAGCTCTTATAAAATATTATATCGCAGTCTTGCACGGAGAAGGAGTTTGAGTCGGGACAATGTAATGTGGCTCTTTGATACATTCCAGAGTTATTGATACATGGCGGAACCAAAATCTGCTCAACAGAGCTAAGGGTGCTTGATTTTGGAGATTTCGATTTCAATCATTAATATTTATTTCAAGTTTATTTGTTTATGATTTACAGTCATTATCATTATTCAATTATTCATAAGACAATATTTTAATTTTTCACAAGTTAATTTTTATTAAAAGACATTTTATTGTCTCAAATATTGTTGTAGTCATGCATGGATCTAAGTTTACTTATGTACAACATGTGCATGTGCTCCTGTTTGATTGTTTTGAGAGAAACCGAAAAGAGAATTGTAAAAAAAACTGACTAACTTGCATTTAAAAAGTGTCTGACTGGCTGATTCTTTATAACCGGCTTGTCGGCACATCAGATCGGCTGTCTGCTTTTTGTACGAGTCTTCCAACAAATCAACGACATACCAAGCGCTGTTGATGTACACGGCCCACCAATTGAAGTCTTTCTTGATCAGCCAATCTTGAAGTGATATTTTCATTATCAAGTGATTTTTTGAGACTATTTTCATTGTTAGTTTATTTGCATTTCACAATAATTCACTTTGCTGATAAACTTCAGTTAATTGATTATAAGTTAATGCAGACTGTAACGAAAAGAATATCATTCTAGAGTTATAATATTTTATAGTTTTTCTTCTTTACAAACAATTTATTGCTGATTTTCAAATAATGTCAAAAACCTTGAAACATTTTTTGAAATTTGATCCCCTTCCAGTTGAAATTGCTACCCTTGGAGGTGAATTGAATTTTGCTGTTCTCAATCCCATTAGCTGATAAAATTCCTGAAAAAGCAAACGAAGAGTAAACACCATTTATTTATTTTTTATGTTGTTCTATGGAATATATATTTTTTTATTTCTACCTTCAACTGTAATTCCCCCGTATACAAAGTTCAAGGTCACTCCAGGTTCAATCGTTAACTTTTTGTCAGAAGGAACAAAAATGTCATCGACAACTGAATATGGCGACTTGTCTTTTGTCAGAACCACGTTGCCATCCATTCTTCCACCAATTTGACTGTTACCTTTATCAAAAGTTGATGTCTGCGCCACTAATGAAGTCATGTCGGAATCACGAAACCAGGGACCAATAACGGCTTTCACGACAGTCTGGTCGACAAGTTCGTCTAGAACTCTAAAACTTGGATTAGAAGCATTTCCCCAATAGTTTCTAGCAAAATATATGACAGCAGGCCATTCCTTCTTAATGCCGTCTAATATTTTTAGTTCGTAGTCTGAATTTGGGTTGTTTAAAACGTTACGATCAGACGCCAGACCGGAGCAATCGGTCGAGACAACTCCCGTTACATTATTCCCAATGAACATGTTGTTATTAACGTAGATGACGTTTTTATAATAATAATTGATGTTTCCAGAACTGCTGCATTTCAAAGTTAAAATTGAAGAATCTGACACTCTTGAAACATTTTTGAAAACATTGTTCTCCAATTTTACGACACCATTCCGGGTTAAATCATTTACTCCATAGAGGTTTCTCAATGACAAGTTAACTAAGTAATTGAAAGTTGAGGTTAACATCGATGTGTGCTCATTATTACTAATCTCGACCGACAAAGGATTGATGACATCCATAGTTATGTAACCAGACATTATTTTATTCCCAATAATCCTTGCTGCGAAGTTTTCAGCATTTCTAATGTTAATAACATTCTTCACGCATTTGAAGACATTGTTTGATATACGAAAGTTTAAATTATTGTTATTGTAGTAATATTCATGACCAATGCAATCCGAACTTGATGTAAAAGTGGAATTTTCGAGAACAAATTCCTAAAAATTATCACAAAATAGTTTACAAAATATTCTAAATATTCTATACATTCGATATATTCAGTGTTTTCAATGCTTCATCAAACTAAAAAATCAAATTAGCTCAACCGCAAAGCATATTATTGAGTTAAAAGTTACAGTATGTATGTATATCATCAAACTTAATAAGAATGTTGAAAATTTGAACGTTTACAAATAATAATTGCCAAATTTTTATTCGCACCTCTTTAAAAACCAATGTTACACTCAAACAAATGGAATATCGCAACAATTTTCAGTAGGTTCTAATTTATTTATCAGCCATTAAGCTTCGTCAAAAAAATTTACGAATATTTATTTTAAAATCTTTCTTAGTTGCAAATGCATGCACTGCACATCCAAACTACTGATATGGGCATGTAAAGCCAAGCATTTTAAACAAAGCTGTCCTTATTTGATTGCGTTTTGCACAAACAGTAAATGAACAAACAACCAGACTAACAATTTTTAATTTTCATTAAAAGTTTGTAAAAAGTCAATGATTAATAAATAAAATATTCAACTGAAATATTAAATTTTAGTTTGTAAATATTTTGAAACCATCACTAACTAGATTTTCAGTATTTCTAAGAGAGAGATAAATATTTTCGTTTTGTGAAAACACGTTGGAGTTTAAAATTGACAGACTGAGGTTTGTGACCTGAAAAATCTCAACACACATATCACCGCATTTGACGTTCAGACCATCAAGCAAAATTTTTCCAGACGATTGGTCGGAAAATTTTAAAAAGTTCTGTGAATCAAACGTCGAAGTCTGGACAGTGACTGAGGAGTTGATAATTTCAAGAGGCCAGATGGACGCATTAACGAAAATATTCTTAAGCATTGATCCTAAGGTATGAAAAATTATTTGAGAAATGTACTAACAAACCAAATATCTTGCAATTTCTTTTACAGATAATATTGCTTTACACGAATTGCTACTTAAAACCAAAAGCTCACCGTTACTATTTAAGAATTTAATTCCATTCCACTGTTTATCTGACGATGTTAGAGTCACATTACCGTCAATTTTTAAACAACCACCTTCAAAACAATTATATAAGCAAATTAATAAAAAAGCAATAAAATGAAATAAAATGTTCTACCTTCAACAACGATTCCTGTTGCAGTTTTGAATTTTAGCTGCAAAGGGCCTTGAATAGTGAGACAGCCGCCATTTGTTACAAATATAGTATTTGTCACGTTGTACCCCTTGGCTTCCAGCGAAGATAACACAATGTTACCATTTACAGAACCTAAATCGCGTTTTAAATAAAATTTTAATTCAACTTTCTTGAATGAAGTTTTACTGAAGTCAACGTATGGATAGTTTTGATTGGCGAGTTAGTGATAACCGTAGAAGTCCCTTGTTTTGCATTATTGTAATGGTGCAGTGACTGACTTCGAACGCAGACTGTGCAAAATTTAAAGTTGCTCTGTACCGAAATGTTCAGCAAGTCTTATAATGTTTAGTTGCAATTAATTAATTAGTCAAAATAAGAAAAGTGAAGAATTTTGTTCCTTCAAAAATATGATGTTGATTTTTTTTAAGTTTTGGTGGCCAAGTGGTAGGAATATTAGTAAAAAAATATATTGTTCTTTTTTAATTCACCTATTTTTAAATAAAGAAGTATTCGAAATTTAAATTATGGAATGGAAATGTATGCTACAGATGTATTATAAGCAATGAAAAAACTTTAACAAACCTCCAACTGTGCCATTGAATTTGTACAAAGCCCTCGCATCACTTAAAACCAACAAACTATCTCGCGATTCATTTTTCAAAATTGAAGAGAACCTTACGAATGATCGAGTCGAGTCTTTGTACATGTCAAAAATGCGATCAGAAATGTTTCTTGTATCAGTGGTGGCCCAATAGTTTAAATCAGCATTGTACCCGAATCCTTTAATGTAAGGTGCATGGCAGGCGATTTCATAAGGAGTATTGAAGTTTACCAACTGGTTATTTGAAATTGTGACTTCACTGGGAGACTCAGCGCTTAACGCAATTGTTTCATCCATTGTGTTGTTGGAAAAAACGTTCGAATCAATTCTAAGTAATGATTTGAAGTTTGTGCCAGGGAGCAGGAAAATTTGTAAAGCAGAAGTTCCATAGTTGTTGATGAATTTTGATTGAGTGATCGTTATGTTGGCGTTATTGTTGATGTACAGGTAAAATGGAATTTCAAGATTAGCAGAAAGTGTTGAGTTTTGAATCAAAAAGGAGATGAAGTTGACTCCAACATAATTGTAATTATAAATGCGGATCGCCCTAAATTTGTTATTTACAAATACAGTGTTGATAATTTGTAAAGTATCGTTGGGCAACGAATAGGTCTGAGATTTATGAATATAGAGTCCGTAGAAGTTATTCTGGAAGAGAGAGTCAGAAATTGACAGAACTAAAGGAGTGTCATCCGAATATTCATCAATTTTCAGTGCCGCGTCTTCATGATTTAAAAACCTGCATGCGTAGATTGTCAACTGACTTCTTAATGCAACAATACCAATCTGAAAAATTAACGAAAATTTCACGATATCTCAATATTCAGTGAAATGTATTTCAATCTTATTTGTTGAAATTTAAAAACTGACTTGATTGCTTTTGAACAAAGAATTGCTGAAAGTGACGTTCTCGTAATTTGTTAAGGAAACTGCTTTTGGGGCGTTCTTAACGACGAGCCCACTAAACGAAATCGTCTTCAAGTTGGTTGTTAATCCAGATCCTCGCACGTACAGGTTTCTGACGGCAAAGTTGTTACATGCTGAAAAACAAAATTGAAATAGGTATGTACAGAGTTTGTCTCATAGTATTCGGAGAAATAAATCATTTACCAGAGAAATCAGAAGAGAAAATGAGTCCTTGCCAGAATTTTTTGTTGTCGTTAAAATAATCAACACTGGCGTAATAACTCAGCACGTTGTTGGACAAAAATTGAACTTCTAAGCCAATAATACCTCTGGAGTCCAAGCATCCTAAAAATTATAGCTAATAGAATATCCCAAAAATTGTAAATTAATTTGAAATGTTGATGAAAAATATATGATAGTAAGAAAAGATATGTAATAAGCAGCTACTAATATTTCCTTATTTCAATACATTACACACAATAACAAATTGTTTTAAATTAAAATTTCTGCTTTAAATGTTTTTTATGTGGTTAATGGTTTAGCAAAAAATCTCAAAATAAATGTTAAAAACATAAAATATTTTTACCTGAGATTGTTAAAGAAGCAGTATTACCAACAAAAATAACTTTAACCCCAGCCTCAATTGTGAGTGTTACACCGACACCCACCAAAATTGCACTTCTTATTATGTAAGGACTGCTTGATTTTGACCAAAACACGTTCGACTAAGAAGAGCATTATTTCGGATTTTTAATAAAATAATTCTAGCGATAGGTAGAATTTTTTTCCATTGCAAACACTCACATTGATATTTTGCGTGATTTCAGTTTTTGTGGAAACGATTGTCGGAGCGAGGCAGCCATAAAGCTCCAATTGAAATGTTGGTAAAAGGGAATAAGAAGTTGGTATTATTGCTAGTAGAATAGCCTAAAATTTGGAAATTAATTTAAAACTTTGATGAAAAAATATGATGATAAGATAATAACTAATATAATGTAATAAACAGTTATTAATATTTTTTTATTTCAATACATTACACACAATACCAAAATGCTTTAAATTAAAATTTCTGTTTCACGTTTCATGCACATGAAATTTTCAGTACATATATTTTTGAAATGTATACATATTTACCTGGATAGGAGTGTCAAAGTACACCACACTGATGTCTGAATTGCCGTGGTTCCCTTCAAATTCGTGAGCTTCAGCCAAATCGTCGGCTCCGTTGCCATAAAATTGCCAGGAAAAGCCATCATTTGAGTACATGATCTGGAAGGAATATTCTTCAACGCTCAAATCAGCATTTTAAGTCAATTTGTTTATTTTCGTCAAATCAAACCAAAAAAATATCGAACACAGTGTAATTAAATGAAATGACATGGAAGCCAAAAAGTAAAATTTGTGAGAAACTATCATTCAAAATTCAAAAACAGTTAACCAAAATCATATTTTTTCATCAGACTTTCACATCGTTAAGTTTATTTTACTGTTACGTACAGACAGACTACCTATATGCAGTGATTTCATGTTTCGAAATTTCACTATAGCAACGTGATTAAATTAAAGGCAAGTTTTGAAACATATTCAGAATTTTAAAAAGTTAAAAAGCTTACCTTAAATGTCGAAACATAGTAGTAACTCGCTGTAGAAACACTCCGTATGGCTAGCTTAGTTATCGTGTAGATAGCGGTTAAGTTGACAGTCAAGTAGACGTATCGGGGATAATTAACACTTGCTCTCCACGCATCTTTCAAAAAATTTCAAATCAATTTTTACTCAGATAGAGGAAAAAATGCAAGTTAGTCTTTTAAACATATAAAAGTTATTATAACACCAAAAATAAATAAAAAAATTGTCATTTACTTGTATTTGAGTTATTGAATCTGGCAAAGCTAGGTTTGAAACTGTCGTCATATTGAGTCGGTGCATATATTTGATCGTCTCTAATGCGTCCGTCTCCAAGCCCTAAAGCATTCAGGCAGGTTGTCGAAGGTTCAGAACCTTGGAGTAGTATATAAAGAGATTTAGGTATAAATGAAGTTATTCATTTTCTTCCAACTTAAATAATTATCACAAATGAAACTCCAACCTACCGCAGATCGGCATATCGCAAAACTCCCACAAGTTGTTACTGGAGTCCAGAAAGCAGTAAGGCCTTTCGTGATGGCAGCTGGCTGGTTCAACCGGGTTCCGACAGAAATTATGGGTGAAAGTCGCATTCACATCGCTGACTCCCTATCAAGTTGATATCGGTCCCCATAATTGTTATCATAATTTGATGTTTTTATAAACGATACATAGTCGCTCACATATAACGAAAACTATTTTTTGCCATGTGTTGAGGTTTTCATTATCGTATTGAAAGCATTAACGCAACAAACACTACCATCCCAACCTTAGAACATGGTTTGGTGGATAACCAAGGGGAGCAACGTTGTCCCGACGCTGACACGTTCAAATTTCCATGGTATGTTCCATCTTTCGACATGCAGTCTAGAAAAAAAATTTTTAAACTTTTTTCACTGTAATAAAAATCTGATAATATTATCACTAAGTTTTGAAAATAATTAAATAAATTTAAAAATTATTGAAGCAATGAAAATTCTAGACAAGAAATAGCAATCTATCTTGGTTTAATTCTCGACATATATTTTCAAAACAATTCACATTTTCATAGAATAAGCCAAGAATCGTCAACAGTGCATCCCTAAGTGAGAGCGTTTCTCGGCGTCCTTTCTAGATTTGCCACTGCATAAAATACAAAAATTCAAACAACAAACCTGAAGCCGAAACGATGTTGTTGAAGAGAGCCGCTGTGATCAAAAATAACTTGGCCAGAACCGTTAACTTCGGCATGATCGAAGTCACAAAAAATGTTTTGAAGCTGACAGTACTGTCAACCTCAAAAAATTATTTAATTAAAATATCTTTCAAATTCATTCAATAATTTTCAATTATAATAATATTATTTTTGATGTCTTTTGCATACAATTGAAGATTTGAAAGATTTATCGTCAACATTTGCCTATAAATAAATAAAATCTCACAGGATGCGGTTAATGACATGATTCACGTGCTTGCGTGGATAATTACGCGATTCACCTGCTTGCAAAAAAAAGACCAGAACAATAGAGCCGTTGAGTGAGAAGAATTTGTGTAAATTTCATAATGACGTTTTGTAACTCTAACTCAAATGGACAGACACTCCATGGCAGCCTGCAAGTTTTTTAAGTTGTTCAGTTTTTCGGTCGAGAAAAATTAATTTTTGTCTTTTTCGCATGTAAATTATATGTATTTAACTTTTAAAGATTTAAATTATTAGCGTGAATAGTAATTTTATATCCGCTGGAATGGTGGGATTACGCTATATAATTAATTATTGTTATCTTTTTTATCTTTGCTATCAAATTGGTTTAAAAGCTCTTTTTTGTAATTCTTTGAAAATTCAGATTTAAATTTTAAAATATTTTAAATGTCAGGTGTTGTTAGTGCAAATGTGCTTCGTTGATTCGTCTTACGACTATTAAATGCAAAATACACACACACACACAACACTCACTCACACACACCCAAATATTTAATTGTTTCAATTTTTCACCCATTCTATTATTCATTCATTCATTCATTCATTCATTCATTCATTCATTCGTTCGTTCGTTCATTCATTCATTCATTCATTCATTCTATAATAGATTAGGGCGGTTTTGCTTTCACTGATAACCATGCACTCACTCTGTTTTGTTGATGTTAATTTGCAAGCCTGTCCTTTCACTTTCAAAAACCAGTTTGGAAACAACTGCCTTCAGTTTTTCCATTGAATCATATACATATACGTCACAGTCGTTATATTTAATAACTGTCAGAATAACAATAACAATAATAAAATAATTATATTATTAATAATGTGAACGCTTTTGTTTCCCCAATAGCTAAAAATTAGCAAAACCATGAAATAATACAATAATAAAAACCATAAAATAATAGTTGATAGATTGACCTAATTGATAATAATAACAATAAAAATTTTTTTTACAATAATAATAATAATGTGAACACGTCAGCAAAGCTCATACAGTCTTTATCGTGTGAACATTCCACCGCATAACAATCCTATTAGTAACAACACAACTGCAACAACAACAACCACAACTACAACAACAATATAACGTTATTTGTTTCTCAGTAAATAATTTTTGGTAAAAAACAACGACAACGTATCAATCAATGTACCCTGTGGTGGACCCAAAAAGGCTGGCACCGGGAAGGTACAGGAATGCATCCACACCCCACCAAGCCATTCGTGCAAGAAAAAATTACTGAAAGTTCTGTTTGAAACTTGGACGGAAATTAGCACAAAATAGTAGGTCGTTGATTTGGAAATTTCGAAAATCATCCCATTTTACCCAAAAACTGGAATAGCGGAAATAAACAGGAATTATATGAAGAAAAAGGTTCATCGGTTTTAGAATTTCAAAATCACAGTCTTCCCTCCACAAATTTCTGGATTCGCCACTACTCTCAATGTTCTCATTTTGTATAATTAACGCTTTTTTTTAACTAGATATCATTAGTTTTTTAATTTCTAATTTTGATTGTAATTGATAAATTGATAAATTTTTTATGTAAATTTTTAAATATATATTTAATATTACAAAGTGCAATGACATTGTATGAATCAATGTATAAATTTTAATTGCAAGGATAATGGCTTGTGTCTGGGTCTATTGTTTTGTGTTAAGCTATGTTATGTTACCTACATTGTGTGTTGGTTGTTAACGTATCTCATCTGATAAATACTACGTAGAGAATAAAAAAATTTGACTCTACATATTTTACTTAAAAACACTAGGTGCTTGATCTTATAAGTAAGTTTGATTAAAACAACAATCATGAGGCTACGTAATTAATAACGTTAATACAATAAATTATAAAAATCTTATCACGCCTAATTAAATATAACACTTAAACAGTTAAAACACTGATGAACTTATTTCAAATTGAAGTAATGTTGCAATGAACGACCATCATCCATATAACAAGAGTCCAATAAACCCATATAGCTTATAATCGTACAGCGGCTTACTAATACTTAAAGATTTAGATCATTACATTTCAATATAAACATAATTGTTAAGTGAATAGACTCATAAAATACTATTTTTAATGAAAAATTGAACGACTGTTAATACACTTTACGCCTAAAGACGACCGTTTTTCTTTTGATTCAACGACCACAGTAGAATGCTAGCTATACTTCATAATGGCACCTAATTGGAAACTGGTAAGAAAGATGAATAAAATTTAAACACGATTAAAAAATGTTTATTATTCCGACGAAAATTGTTTAACAAAGTTAATTTTTTAATATTAACAATAGTTACTTTACTTATAATATTCAGCTCATATCAAACATTAGCATGTGATTTGTGCATGTTCTATATTAAAACACAAAAGCACATCATTCTTTAAAACTGTTGGTTTCCTAAATTTAATTTTACCAAAGATATATTGGAAGTATTTTTGTTCAAAATGCGAAATAATTTGTTTTTATCTTTCTTGTGGGTTCATTTTCTTTTGGATGCCATGGGGCCTCTCCTACTCTACGCCCGACCCTGCTCTATCATAAGCCCTGTCTATTTTTTCCTTTATAGAAATGGAAAAAAGATTAACGCTGATGAGATGTGGTTTTTGTGAAGAATTATAAAAATTAGTTGGACCTCTCATACTTCGAATGAGGATGTATTAAAACAGTCTGACTATGAAAAGAGGAAAGTACTACAAATAATCCGACGGGGGCAGTTAAAGTTTTTTGGTCACATTATTCGGAAGGAAAAAATGGAAAATCTAATAACTACTGAAAAGATTGCGGGGAAAAGAAATCGCGGTCAACAACGAATAACATTCGTGAAGTCCTTGTGTCACTTGTTGAAACAACTAATAAAAAGTGTTAAAGATCGGTTTTTTGGAGGTCGAGGGTCGCCAATGTACTGAAAGGATAAGGCACGAGAAAGAAAAAAAGATTCCATTCCCCTAATAAATCCGGGCCTGGTTGCTACTACTGAAAAAAATCATGCAACCTAGTTTCTCTTAAATACCATCGGTAAATAATAATATTGTATTCAGGTAGAGACTGAACTGAACGTTCACAGTGAAATGAACGTTTTGTTATATGGTTATCTCGTAAGCAATCAGTGAACGCGCGTAGTGAATAGTCAATTATTTATAGAGTTTGCCAACTAACTAGCTTAGATTATGTTTATTCAGCGCCAGCGATATGAGTAATTCGAAGAAATGCGAAGTTTAACAAGGCAGTTACGACAAGAGAGTGAGCTACTAGGTTAATTGTATTTAAGTAAATAATAATAGCAAATAGTAATAATAATAATAATTATTAGTTTTTTTAATGTATAATTACAAAAATATATCCGACAGAATATTGTTTCAATGACTTCAAAAAGCCGTGAGCTTTCATCACATAGTTACTCTGCTACTAAATGCTGCTTTTAATGTTAATATAAAATGTAATTGAGGATTTGAACAGGTGAAATCTAATTAATACACAGCCCTATATATATATATATATATATATATATATATATATATATATATATATATATATATGTATATATATATATATATAAGTACATATATGCTCTGATTTTCATCAATAATTGCACACACACACACATAGTTATATTATATGTATATATGTGTGTGTGGTGTGTGTGTGTATTGTGTTTGTATATAAAATGTATGTTGTGTATATTTGCTTCATTTTATAGCTAATGTTGTTTGCATGCCGTATAAATTAGACATTGTGAATTGAGAATAACTGCTTGCTGTTAATGAGAGTTAACGCTAGCTCGAAAGCTAGAAAAGTTATTTAATGAACTTTTTGAAGAAATATTGTTCGAGGAACTGTTTGAAAGGATAGTGCTATAGGAAGTGTTAGTGAAAATGGTGGTAATTTACGTTAAAATGATTTTGAAATGAAATGTTTAAGGTTGTTCATCTTAATTTTTTGGTTTTTTATTTCACGGAATGTACCATCAGCGAATTCGAGTGAACTCTGTTCATCATCGGCGTTTCAGACGTGCATCAACTGCCAGATAGACGAGACGTCGATTCGTTTGGATGGCTGCATGAGGCAGCAGTGTCAGGATGTCTCGTTGCAAAACCGTCAGAAATATAATTTCCAGAATGAGCTTTCTGAAGTTTTGAAAATAAAAAGTCGTGTGACCTCTTTAGTCGTAACGAACTCTCCGTTAAGTGAAATTCCTTCAATGATTTGTTCTCTCTCAAATATTTTGGACCTTTCGATTGATAGCTCATGTTTGAAAGTTCTTCCAGATGGTTGCATCAACAAGCTCAAAACATTGAGAAAGTTATCTCTTCAAAATAATCAAATCGAATATTTGCAAAAAGGTCTGTTTGACGGACTGAACGATCTTGAAGAGATTATTTTAAAGAACAACAAAATCAGCTCAGTTCACGATGATGTGTTTTCAAACGAAACTGATCTTCTATCACTGAAAAAGATAGATTTGAGTTTTAATTCGCTAACGAATGTAGATGCCTGGGTTTTCGTCAGAGCAATGTCTGGACATGAGACCATTGTTGATCTCGATAGCAACAACATTTCCAACTTTTCAAATCGGAAAAAATGGTTCTTCACGTGCAAAAAGTACAACAAAAGGTTTTTATCTCACCAGTTAAATTTAGACAACAATCAGTTGAAACATATCACTGACTTAGCGATATACTTTCCTGCTCTAACGGATACGTTGTGCTTCTTCGGTCGTAGGACCTACACAAAAGTTGAAATTGGCTTATACAACAACCCGATAAAATGTGATTGCGTTGATTACAAGGTGATAACGATTACCAGGAGTTTATTCCAATCGATATTCGACGGTGTTCATTGTCAAAAACGTTTCCAGCCGATTCCTATAAAGTTCATGGTCATCCCAGTAGAAGAACTCCAATGTGACATGGATCAGTGCACAGATGGATGCGCATGTAAGGAAATCCCATTTTATAAGAGCATGTACATCAACTGCAACTTCAATCACATGTCCAATCTGCCAGTGATGTTGCCTGTGAAAACAAAAACCTGGAACTTTTCAATGTTTCACTACAATTTAACGTTCAGTCACAATTCAATTGAAACGATCGACGAACGATTTTATTTCAACAACACGGTTGTATTGGATCTGAGCTACAACAAAATCACAAAAATAGATCTCCAAGTCTTCAAATCTCTCAAAGTTTTACAAGAGTTACATTTGCATTCAAACTTCCTGACTACTGTACCAAGAGATTTTTTGAAGAACGATTCTCGCATGCTGAAGCACATCAGCCTACACAACAACTCGTGGGATTGTTCTTGCGGAAATAAATGGTTGAAGCAATGGATGATGAACTTATGGAACCAAAGTATCACTCTGCTGACACCTGACAGCGTTCTATGCAGGACACCAGGCTCACTTTCTGGACGCAGCTTATTCTCCGTAAGCGAGGAGGAGTTTTGCCCAAAACCCAGCAGGTTACTCATCAGTTTGTTAATCCCACTCCTCACTGGAGTGTTGCTTTTATTAGCTCTGTTTGTGTTGATTAAAAAATTTAAAGTAGAGTTGAACACATATCTGAACATCCATCTGCTCGATAGAGATGAATGCATAGGTGAGAACATGATATACGATGCATTCGTCAGCTGCTCCTATTCAGACCGCAGGAGAGGAATTGAACTGGTCCGTCTGATGGAAGGCAAAGGTTACCACGTCTGCTATCATGAAAAAGATTTCATCGGCGGTCAGTCAATCGCCGCCAACATCGTCGAAGCAATAACGTTCAGTAAAAGAGTCGTTTGTCTTCTGACGTCCAATTTCCTCAAAAGTACCTACTGCATGTTTGAATTTCAGACATCTCTGCACAGAAATATCGAACTGAAACGCAAGAGGTTAATAGTTTTGTTGGATGAATCAGTTGAGGTGGATGAGGACGTGCTGCCGAATGATGTCCACAACTTCCTGACGACGCACACCTACATCGAGCTGTCGAGTAACAAGTGGACCCATCAGCTCTTCTACAGTCTTCCTCTCAACCCCATACAATTGAAAGTCGTTCACCAAGATACGGATTACTCTGTGGCATCAGACGATGTATCTCTCATAACTATATAAGTATTAAATACTCTTTATATATTGAATTAATCGTTTATATAATAGTCACAATTACATTTTGACAAATCGATAAACTTGTTCAAAAAATTTTGTTTGAACAAGATTTTTTTTTTAGTAAAAATGGCATATGTAGATGAGTACCAATGTTATTATATCTTGCATTGTTTCCTGGCTTTTAAAGTTCATGTGGTGTGGATGTACGCACTTCGCCACACCAATATTTAAAATTCCTTTTAAACGAGCAAGGAGTGATACGTGAACGGCCCAGCGTTGGTATAACAACTGCATAATTTACCGAAAAAAGTGTAACAAATTAATAGAGAAAAGAATGTCAAGGAGTAGCCGAGCCGTAGTTTGACAACATTGCTGAGTCAGTGTCTCATATTATTTTATATATGCAAAATACATACTTTTGGTCCGGTGAAATACAATCAAGCCAATCAAGTTCAATCCTATCAAGCCAACCTATGGCTTCAGTAAACAAATGTATTTCACCGAACCAAAAGTAGTTTCTATATTTATATTAACAAAAATAATTGTGATATGAATATATTGATTTATTTAAAACATTATATGTACAAACAACCGCTATCATAAGAGTTCTATGAGACCCTGTAAGCCACAGCCGTAAGCCGACGTCATATTTCAGCAACTAATTTCTACGAGCACTAGAATGTATAATATTTATTGAATATAATAAAAATAGTTGTTTAAATAACAATTTTGCAACTTCGTTAAAGACGACCAGGTAAAACATGAGGAGAAACATCACAGAAAGAAACGGCGCCTGCTTAGAGAGCTATTCTTATTGACTTTTACCGCTGCTGAGATGTTCACTGCGATTTCGCGGAACAACCTAATGAATAATTTTGACACTTTGCTAAACTCATATCGAATGCGTTTATTGGTGGTCGGAGAGAAGAATAGACAACAAAACGGATAAGCAAAATATAAATTGCCTAAAAATTTTAAACAAATTACTGAATTATCCACTCAAACAATTATACGTATCAAAAACTCTGACACGGGATTACAAATATCGATAAATTTACCACCGCATATTAAATTAAAAAATTAGTCTCCATTGAAAAAAAAATCTGATCAAAGAGCTTCGCTGATTTCCTTGACGACGAGTTTCTTGTATTCATCGAGTCCTCCGTTTAGACTGGTCACACCCAGGCTGCCACATATCCACACCTCATCGCATGTTCTTCGTATCAGGCGTTCGTCGTGGGAGACCAGCAACACACCCCCCTAAAACATTTTCAAGTTTCAGTAATAGGTAGATGCCTAAACATCTTGCAATACAACAATGTAAGTAGCAAACATTTTAAGGTACAACAGTGTACAACAGTAAGATATCAGTGGTAATTGTCTAAATAACATCAACCTGAAATTTGGCCAGTGCTTTGGTGAGAGCTTCAATTGTCTCCATGTCTAAGTGATTAGTTGGCTCATCGAGTATGAAGAAGTTGGGACTGCGTTATTAATTGATCAATAAATCATAATTAATCGATTAATTAAACGTTTAATTAATTAATCAATTAATAATTGAGTGGCAGAGAGTTTTACCGATTAAGTTGATTAATGAACGTTTCTATAGCATAGTTCCCAATATGAAAACCACATCTATCCTAATTAAATATCACTTACACAAATTACCTACCTGCCTTTAAAATAGTAACATAACGACTTAAATCTAAGTTTTATATGGACCGAACTAACTAATAATATGATAATACTTTATTTTAGAACATATCAAACTTTAGAATCAAGTAGATTTTTCAGAAAACAATTAAATTGTACCACCGGTTCTATACAGCAAAACGAAAATTAACAGAAAAAAAAAAAAAAAATCTAAAAAAAATAACTGCAATACGCTAAAAGAGAACAGTTGAAAGAGAGAGAGGAGAGAGAGAGAAAGAGAGAGGAGAGAGAGAAAAAGAGAAAAACCTTGTGAGACTCATGAGAGCGAAGGCCACACGACTCTTTTGTCCACCGGATAAACTGACCACAGGTCTCAACGCAAGTTCTCCTGATATCCCAAACGATCCCAAATGTGTCCTGTAATATTCTACTGGTTTGCCTGTTGGATCAGTTACGAATTGCACCGTGTCATTCATGGATAATGTATTCGTCATCCTTAATATTTAGTTTTCTTTTCTTAAACTTTGAATTGACTTTCAGTTGCATGTTGTTAGGAAATTTATATTAAGTATCTTAATATCTCTTATGTAGTTTTACCTCTTTTGAATTTTGAAATTCAACTCCGTCATTTTCATTCGCATAATCTCGAAGATGGATCATAAAAAAACAAAATTGTATTCCACATATAACCATAAAACATTACATACAACAGTGCAACACAACAACAACAACACACGTTTAGACGACATTTTCCCCAAGATCTGGGGTTGCCGTTTGGCTACCTATGATGAAACCGAAATACCCCTCGACGCCATTTCATCATAAGTAATTTATTTGGCTAATTTTTACGCAGGACGCCCTTCCTTACGCAACCACAGTTATAAGCGGTGGGCCTAGCCTTTGATGATCCAACATCCCTCACAAGGCAGTGAGGGTCAGTTTAATGTCATAACCAGGACATAACAGTTTAATGTCATAACAGTGCAACACGTAACACAATCTAATTAAAACTTGAAATTCAGACGCAAAGAACCAAGAAATTTTTTCTTCGCCATGTCAGAACTTTTCATCACTTCAAAACTAACAGCATAACATCAAATATATATATATATATATATATATATATATATATATATATATATATATATATATATAAACATCATCAAAGACAATTTCAAACATAAAACACGTAAGAAAATCTTAAAAAAAAACCCAAAAAATATTCAAACTCAACGTACCAGGAAATCTGTTGGCTAGGACTTCAACAGGGCTAATGTTGAGATCCATTTGATCTACGTGGTGCTGACCGAAGTAGCCAATCCTCAAATTGCGGTGTGCGTGTCTTATACCTTTTGTAGAAACAAAACTTTCGCGAGTCACATAATAATCATGTAATATAATTTCATCATATAATAATAATAATAAGTTGAAAGAGAACGGTTGAAAGAGAATAAAAGAGAGAGAGAGAGAGAGAAAGAGAGTAAGAGAGAGAGAGAGAGAGAGAGAGAGAGAGAGAGGTTGGAACAATCTAGACTGTATATACAATGGAATGACTTGAATAGACACGATTAATCAGGGATATGTTTAAAACTGTTCAGACAATCCTACAAAAAAATTATGAGAATAGCAGATATCAGTTGCCAAAAAGGTGAAAAGAAATACTTATTGGTTGAGGAAATTAGAGAAGGTTATTTTATCCTTCTTCATTCGAATTTCTCAGAAGCAGAGTCACAACCAACCAACTAACCAGATGTTGGACTGAGTTCTCCCAATAAGACTTTCAACAGTGTTGTTTTACCTGCGCCATTTTCCCCAACCTGAAAATTTAAACTTGATCAATTAAGACAGAACTGAAAATAATTATGAATGAAAATTAGTGAAAATAGTTTTCTAAAGTTAGCTTGAAAGACAAATTTAGCAATGAAATGCAATCTGATAAAGATGAGAACACATTGAACACTTGCGTCATTTTGAACAGAACATAAATTAAGGTAATTTGGCAACAATGTTTTTTTTTAAAACAATAAAAACTTACAGAACCGACAAAAAACTTTCAACAAAAATAAACAATCATCAGGCTGCGTGAAACTTCAATCAAAAATTGGCTTAAAGGCAGTGAAGACTTGGCAAAAAACGCCAAAAATATCACACCCCAACGAAAAATAATTTGGCAAAGGAATGTTATTCTTATTGGCTATTTTCTCTCTCTCTCTTTCTCGCTCTTTTTCTCTCTCACTCCCTCTTTCTCTCTCATTTTCTTTCTCTCTTTCGACTGTTCTCTTTTAACTTATTATTATTCTTATTGTTAATGTTTAAGACAGCAAAGACTTAGCAAAAAACGCCAAAAAAATCACACCTCAACGACAAAAAATTTTGCATAGGTTAATGATTCTCGTTGGTAGGAAAAGACTTACGATGCAAATCCTGGAGTCCATGTTTGGCGATAGGTTAACGTTTTTAAAGATGGGTTTGGACTTTTCGTAATAAAAGGAAACCTCATCCAGCTGCAGGATGGGCGGGTGAAGTTTCTCAACTTCGGGGAATCTGAATTTTACAATAAATAAATAATAATAATAATAATAACATAATAATTTGTAGAAATAATTACGTGAGAGCATTCTCAGTATTAACAATATTAAATGTTATGTCATAAGGGTTTAAAGCGCCTGATTGTGCTATGCGATGACTGTATTCAAATTCAAAAAAATCCTTACATATGCTTTGTGTCAGTGCATGTGTGTCTGTTTGTTTGTGTGCATGTGTGTCTGTGTGAGTGCATGTGTGTGTGTGCGTGTGTGCGCGTGCGTGTGCGTTGAAGATATCACTGATTACTATACAAAAAGAATGTAATTTTCACTATGGATCAATAAGAAAAAAGTCGAATCAATTAAAATAAAACCAAATACCTAAACATAACTTCTGATTCCTTTTCAACTGGAACTAGCAGAGGTCTGTTATTATAATTGAAATCAGTCAATCAACTTTATTAGTTAAATTTGAAATTTATATTAGGATTGAAGTAATATGTAAGAAAAATTTGATTTAACAAAAATGGAATGACCTAGAAACCGATCTAAATCAATAAAAATATTTACGACGACCAAAGAATACATCAAATGTGCCACCAGAGGTTCATAATTTAACAGATTCAACAGAAAGCAAGAAAAAAAAAGAAATACACACAGCTTTTCAAGCGCCTTAATTCTACTCTGAACTTGTGAGGCCCTATTGGCATTGTACCTGAACCTATCAATGAACACCTGTATTGAGAAGATGGTGATGGTGGTGTGATTGATTTAGATGGTTGGATTGGATCTCTCAGTCAGACACACAGGCATAGAAAAGCGCACAGAAAGGGAAAAGAAAATAGAGAGAAAAAGAGAGAGAAAGAGAGAAAGAGAGAGAGAGAGATACTTGTAGATGTTCCCTGGTAGTTTGTTGAGCCTCGTACTCTCGCTGTTGATTTTTCAACCTCTCCTCTCGCGTTTTACAAAAGTCTTCGTAATTGCCTGGTGAATTGAGATTTATAAGATTCCATGGAAAGAAACATCTAAACGTCGTTTAATCAGCTGCCTGCCAGCTACTGCTGTGGCCACACACGCACACGCACACATACATACAGAAACATACACACACACACAAACACACGCACATATATATAAAGAAACATACACAAACACACATACACACATACACAAACACACACACACATACACACAAACAAACACACACACAAACACACACACATACCTTTGTAAGATTCGATCTTTTGTGCATTGAGGTAGAGTATGTCGGTGGCCACGTTATTCAAGAAGGCCCTGTCGTGAGAGACGACGAGGATTGTGGAAGGCCAGGTCTGAATGAATGGATGAATGAATGAATTGATGAATGAATGGATTGATGAATGGATTGATAAAAAAAAATAATTGAATGGAAGATGAAGGAATGAAAATGGATGGATGGATTGATTGATGAATAAATAGATGAATGGAAGATGGATGAATGAATGGATGGATGAATGAAACTTTTCCTCTCGCGAATGAATGAATGAAAAAATGAATGAATGAATAGATTGATAAGTGGATGGATTGAGAAATAAATATATGAATGGAGGATGAATAAAAGAATGAATCAACAGAATGATGGATGGATTGATAACTAAATAAATGAATGGAAGATGGATGAACGGACGGATAAACAGATGAATGAATTAATAAACGAATAAATAGATAGATAGATGGATGGACAGATTATACTTGTTCATAATATACATTCAATTAAAACCTCGCAATAGCAATTGAGAAATAAAGAATAATTATAATAAATTATAAAGAATAATTTAATTATTAAGTACATTAACCTGCAAATAATCTTCCAACCATATGACAGCTTTCATATCCAACATGTTTGTCGGTTCTAAAGTGATCATACAGTGATTACAAAGTGATTATAAAGTGATTATACATATTAAAAAATACAATTAATTTAAATAAAGTAAAACACACTCATCATGAATAACCATCATCTAAAAATACTACACTTTCAGTCTAATTCCATTTCGCTATAACTGGAACATCGTAACTTTAAACAATTGATACCATTTTACAAAACTATTATTATTACAATTTTGTCTACTAAAATACTTATAAAAAGCTAAATAAACCAAAAAATAAAAAAATAGCGGGTTTATTTAGTAAATAATTTATTCAATTACAATTACATGACATTACATTACATAATCACAAGTTGAAAAACAACGGACTAACCATCAAGTAGAAGTAAATCGGGTCTGGAAGATTTTTTTTTATTTTGAAAAAAAAAATTATTCTGATCAAAAAACTATTGGTAATACAACAAAAATTCATACATGTGTATATATATATATATATAAAATATATATATATATATATATATATATATATACATATACATATAAAATACAAATACAATACATTTAACATGTAAAACGCGCGTACATATTAAACATGTCTACAATGTAATTGTAATTTGTTAAATTAAATTTACAAAGGTGTATTTAAATTAATAGCGCAGTAAATAATAATGAACTGGATGGATATATAACTGGGTATATCATAAAATATATTGTCCAATAGGGTAGAATATACTACATCCTTAATTAATGTAATATTACAAATTAAGTATTACAAGTTAAGTAATATATGTAAATTGAATATAGGTATAGGAGCCAACTTTGAGAAGAGTGCCTGGGCCAATGACAACCTCATTCTCCATCCACCAGAAAATTCCCTGTACGCCGTGAGTAAATCGTCATATTATAATTATAATAATAAATATTCTTCTTTTGGTCAATTTGTAATAATTATTTTAGTTATAATAATTATCTTTCTTATGGTCAATTAAACGTATATTGTGAATTATATTATATCGTGTTATATTGTATTATATTATATATTATTATATTATATTATATTATATTGTATTGTATTATATTATATTATATCATATTATATTATATTGTATTATAATATTGTATATTATAGTGGCTATAAATTTTTTTAAAATATTGTCGTAAAAATAAATAACACATGTAAGTGCTTTTAAACTTGAAGTAACAATTATTATAGGTAATTATTGCAATTGCAATTTATTCATTAAATCAAATTAAACAGAAACAAATCATGCAAAGAATGAAATGATCTTGTAGACCAAAGTCGATAAATTAATTCCTTGTACCCTGGCCAATTTGAAGTTATTTAGAAAGATATTGTTAACTAAAATAGGAGTAAAACGTCAAAGAAATTATAAATGTTATAACTAAGGGTCCCTAAAGGGTATTCCAATTCAGTTCAATTCCTAATTTAACGAGGGCCTCACTTTGTGGGTTTCCTCTGTTGGTCGGATTTGAAGCCCAACCCAATCATGATGATGGCGGCCCTCGCAGGGGCCTTGTCGGCCTCGATACGTTCCAACTCGGCATATACCTCGGTCAGTCGGGAGCTGATGTCTGATGGACAGGAGGTGCTGTGATGATGTCAGAAGGGTGGAAAATGTGTGTGTGAGAAAGAGAGAGAGAGAGAGAGAGAGAGAGAGAGAGAGAGAGAGAGAGAGAGAGAGAAAGAGAGAGAAAGAGAGAGAGAGAGAGAGAAAAGAAAGATGTGTAAAGAAGTGTGTGTGTGTGTGAGATAGAGAAGATGTGTATGAATGATTGTGTGTGTGCGTGTATGAG